CTAGTAAGAAATTATATAGTCTTTTAATCATTTTCTCATCTGATTTAAGCATCACCTGATCACATGCTGTTAAATCTTTATAAAAGCCCCACATTCTATAGTCTTTAGCATATCTCGATTGTATCTGCACCTTACACCACCAAGAAATATTAGATCCTTGTTCTTGTATTTCTTGATTCAATTTCAATCCTCCATCATTATCCAAAATGTCATCATATCTTACGATCCCTTCAAAGTTCAATGCATTTGGATATACAAGAGCTGCCAAAGGTGAAAGCCATCTTGGTAATTTAGTATACAATATTGTCTTTAACTTTTCCCACACCAACATTAATGATTTCCTAATACAGTGACTTAAAAAAGAGCCATGCACCTTAGCCTTTTCATACCACATATAAGCATGCCAACCCATTTGCAGATCATGCCCTTCAAGATACAAGATTCTCTTATTTCTTCAAGTTATCCATTCTTTTAGCCACGTTAAAACAGAAGGTTGGTAATACAGCATCCAATCAGGGAGACCAAAGCCCCCATTCTCTTTAGTTTTCTGGAGTATTTTTAGTTTAATCCTTGGTTTCTTCTTTCTCCATATAAATCTTGAGATTTGAGAATTTAAATTATCAAAAAAATTTCTATCAATTTTTATGGGAATCATTTGAAACAGAAACAAAAGCTGTGGTAATATATTCATTTTAGCTAGCGCTATTCTTCCCAGCAAGGATAATTGCAAATTAGCCCATTTTTCCAAATCACTCTTAATATCCTTAAATAGTTTATCATAATTGTCTTCTTTCAGAGTCGTACACCTAGCTGTAAGATAAATTCCCAAATATTTAACCTTTTTAACAATCTGAAAGTCTACTTGTTCCAGCAGAGTTTTTCTCTGCTCCTGTGTCAGATTTTTTACTAACAATTTCATCTTTTCTCTATTTATTTTCATCCCAGTAACTTCGCCATACTCTTCAATCCTTTGTAGGAGTGGGCATTGTTACTAAGGGTTCCTCCGTTATGAAAACTAGATCATCTGCAAATGCTTACAGTTTATAGCTTTCATCTCTGATTCTAGTACCTTTAATGTCCATATCGTCCCTGATATTTCTGTTTAACACTTCTAAGATCAATATAAACAACAGTGGTGATAGCAGTCATCCTTGTCTTGTACCCTTTTGTATATCTATAATATTTGTAAATTTCCCATTGATTATAATCCTAGCAGACTGCTTTTGATAGATGCTTGATACCGCATTAATGAACTTTTCACCAAACTCCATTTGCACTAGCTGTTGCTTCATAAATTGCCAATTAACATTGTCAAAAGCCTTCTGTGCATCCATGAATAATAGCGCCATTGGTTTTTCCATATGTATCTCATAATACTCTAAGATGTCCAGGATATTTCTCATGTTATTTCTCATTTGTCTTTTAGGTAAGAAACCATTTTGATCTGAGTGAATAAAGTCTGTTAGATACTTCTTCAATCTTTCTGCCATTATGGAGGCAAAAATTTCATAATCCACATTTAATAGTGATATAGGTCTATAATTCTGAATCTGTGTCAAGTCTGTGTCTTCTTTCGGTATTAATGTAATATTTGCCTCTGTCCAAATATTTGGTATTTTAGCATTTAACAATGCTGCATTACATATATCCTTAAGAAGCGTAGCAAAAATTCCTTCCAAGGATTTATAAAACTCTGCTGGTAGCCCATCCGGGCCAGGAATTTTGTCATTCTTTTGTCTCTTAATTGCCTCTATTACTTCTATGATTGTTACTTCTTGATTCAATACTTTTTGGTATTTCTCCGGTAACTTTGGCAGGTCTCACTTTTGGATATATTCTTTTACTTTCTCAGTTGAAATCTCATCATTCTGGTATAGCTTTGCAAAGAAATCTTCCGCTATTTTCCGCTGTAGGGTGCTGGGGGAAGTGGTCAGCTCAATGGAAGAGCACCTGTGGTACACGCAGGGCTCCCCAACTCAGTTAACCCCTTCATCTCCAACTGAAGGGATGTGAGAGTAGGTGACATGGAAGAAGACCTTCATCTGAGATGCTGCAGAGCTACTGCATGCCAGGGCAGGTTCTACTAGGGTAGATAGATACATCCTTTGACCTAGAGCAAGGCAGCTTCTTACATTACTTTTCATGAAAGTAGCTTGGTGGATGTAGGAGACTAGGACATCCTGAGCACCCCACAGTCAGGCATGGCTTCTGATGCCTAAGGAGGTGCAGCAACATCTCCAGGGCCGGATCCCCACACAGTTGCCCTTGAAAGGCTTCTGTGTAGTGGGTAGCCAGCACAGCAGAAGCAGCAGTGTCTCTAAAACAGAGATGCATCCTTGGTATTGGATACTTGCCATAAGTGAACAAAGACACCTACAGGCATGTTTGCTGAGGAGCATCAGCACCACTGGGGTTGATGCTCCTCAACAAGGAAGTGCAGGGGCAGGGAAGTTCCTACAGACACTCAGCCCCTACAGCACCTATACGACATCTACTGGACTCTTTTCCATCATCTCAGGTAATGCTTAATGTCAGCCTCTAAAAGCAATGCATATCTTGATGCAAGTAAAGCCTGTATTTAAATCAGCTTCTCAGGTTCAGGGTTGCCTATAACAATCTGCACAGGGGCATCCTTTCCTACTAAATAATGTCCCTTCCTTTCCTGAAGCACACCTTCTGGTATGCTAGGGTGTGAACGAGCTTCCTACATCAAGGCTCTTCCCAACTAGCATTCTGCCTTTCCCAGTACAGTGTCCTCCAGGTATTCTGGGCTGGAATTCCAAGGCTTCTTAGCCTTGGAGTCACCCAGCATCCTTCATGCAGTGCATTTCAGCAGCTTTCCCAGACCTGCTGCCTTTCAAACCTCAGTTCCTCATCAGAGCCAGCCAGGAAAAGAAGTGGCTGTATCCAAGCTTTGTAACTTCCTGCCAAGAGAAGCTTCCTATTTGTTGTCCTTCTGCCAGCAGGCAAATATATTCTAATTCAAGTAGACTTGTGGCATCTAAACTGATCTGTTGCTTTTATTCTTTTTTTGTTGCACTATTTGTGTTTTATGGGGGTTTTAATTATATTTTTATTTTAAATGTTGTTGTTTAACACTTCACATGCTATTTCTTTCCAGAAAGACAGGGTAAAAATAAGTAAATGAAGGGCATGAAATTGGGGAAGGCTACCTCATAGCAGAAGAAAGAAAAGATTCTCACTTGGAAGTGGCTAGAAAATACTGGAGTCCTTCCTTCCTCTTTCCTTTAAATATCTTGCTTGAAAAAACCCTAACCAAAGTTTCACACATCCTACTGAAGCACCAGTAGGCAGAAAAACAAAATTATACTCACTGATAGAAGACGACACACAGCTATACTCCAACCTGTAGTATGAAAGACATACATTCATCACCATGGCTCTTCATAAGAGATTACTAAACAATTTATTACATTATGTTATGTTCTTGTGTGCCAGACTGTCCCTGGAGAGACGTCACTCAACCATGAAGCTTATCACATCCAGATTCCTCAGTCTAACCTACCTCACAAGAGTCTTGCGAAGATACAATGGCTGGGCAAATCACATGTGTCACCTTGCCCTTCTTGGTGAGCTGGGATATTAAGGTAATAATACGTACAAGAAAAACAATTCTCCACTGGGCAAGTAAAAGTGACAAACAGCAGAAGGCACAACGCTAAATAGGGTGAAGCAAGATTTTCAACTTGTTGAGGCACACTTTTAAACTGTTTGCATGAGAGGAGCCCAGTTTTTAAGCTCATAACTGAATTATATACAAATCACAAATTCCTGCGCAATTGAATAGTTCTTCCTGTTTAAGCCTTATTGCATTTTGCTGCATAAATATTGACTTATACATATGGCACCAAAAGGCTGCTTTGGGTTGTAAGATTGTCAAAACTTGGATGACATTTGCATGCCCACCCAATGCATATGTGACTGTATCCTCCATGTGCACACTTGAATGATGCACATACATACACACACTCACTCACTGGAATAAGCTATATGATTCAGTGTTATATGGAGAACATCCATACACATATATCTGCATCTTTGCAATAAATTCACCACAGAAACAAAAATGGCTGGGCAGATCATACATGTGCCACTGGTTAAGGTGTGGGACCAGAACTCAGGAAATTTGGGTTCTAGTTCCCACTCAGTCATGAAGCTCACAAGGTGACTTTGGGTCATTCACAGCCTAACGTACCTCACAGGATTATTGTTGCTGTGAGGATAAAATGGAGAGCATGAGACCCTTGCAAGCTTCCTTGCTTTCCTTGCAGGAGGAAGAAAGAAGGGGTATATATGCAATGCAATAAGGCTTAAACAGGAAGGCTTAAACAGGAATGCTAATAAGTAGGTATGCACCCTGCTAAGTCAGGTTGCAATATGGAATAATCCTTAAATTTCTGAGGCACATAAAACTGACTGTATTTTCAAATGTTGGGCGCATAGAGCTATAGTGAACATGGCAATTCTCATCACCAGCAGACATGACCAGCCCTCTTTGGATCCTCCCTGAAGCATTTTATAGGAGCAAGAAGCCCCAGGAAGGCTGAAATGTTCCATTCTGTTCTGGAGGGCCCCTCCAACTCTTGGGAGCAGCTTTTGAGGGCTGGGGGCCTTAAAGAGACATGGCAAGTGTGCCAAAAATCATGTACCCTCCCTTGCGTGAATGGGACACTTTCTGCTTAGGTAAATGCACCACAGGGTGCTACCCAGTCTTTTTTGGTTTTGAAAACTCTGTATATGTGAGATGGACAGAACACTATAAGGTATAGCTAGATACAATATGCTGGTTTTGTTAGTTTCATATTCAGATATGGTATCTGTTCAAGTGCCCTGAAGAAGAGAATAGCTGCGAACTCATATGATGCTACACTGTTTAATTCCTGACTTTCCTGAGATTTTGTCCCCGCTTTTTTTTCCAGAGCCCAGAGCTCCTTGTCTACACCTTTCTTTCCAAGACCAAGGCCAAGTTCCGTGTAAACCGGTGCGACAGAAGTCCACCACGCGCCTCTTTTGGGGGGACTTAGTGGGCGAGGGAACTGGGGGAGGGGTCCTGGGACAGAGGGGGGGAGGAGAAGCCGCGCAGGGGGAGTCTGCTGGGAGCTGGCGAAACCAGCGGGGAGGGGGCTGCTTAGCCGTTCAGCGACCCCTTCGCCCCCGCGCTCTGTAAGTTCCTCGGGGCTGCCCTTCGGGGACCCGGCCGAGGCACCGCGCCCTGTCCGAAGCGGACACGGGCTTCGGCGAACAGCGGAGCCCCCAAGGCACCGATCCGCGAAAGACCAGCGAAGGGGCTGCGGTGGCGAGCGAAAGCGCCCCGCGGCGATCCCTGTCGGCCTGCGCGGGCCACTCACCCGCCCGTCTCGGCGCCCGAATTCGTGTCTCGATGCTGGACGCGGCTGGCCCCCTTGCGGTACATGACGCTGCTGCCCTCCCGCCGCCGCCGCCGCTGCTCTCAGGGACCGATCGGGCGATAGAGGGCGGGAGAGCAGTGGGCGGGGCGGGCCCGCCTCTGGGCGTGAGATCCGCCGTCCTTCCTCTGCGCGGGGAGACTCGCCCGGGCGCCCTCGAGGTCTTTCCCATGAGCAGCGCGGAGCTGGCGCGGCCGTGTGGAGCGGGCGGACTTCTTCCAGGCGTGCGGCATTGCTGAATTTGCCTCGCAGCACGCTAACTGAAAAATGCACCAGCGGAGCTCCCGCTCTCCACCTCCGGTCCGTGTACATTTTGCCTGTCCGTTCGCGTCGTCTCTTCCCCTAATCTGAGGCCGAGAAAGCCGTTTCAGCACGGGGGAGCAACGTATTTATTTGTGGGATGCTTAGTTATGAAACGTCAACACCAATTAATATACTTTCGCATGCCATAAGGAAATCACAAGTACTTCAATACAGTAAAACGAAGTAATGGTTTTCCTCAGAGCCCAGTGCGGCCAACAACCTGTACAAAACACAATGCACCATGTAAGCAATATTAAAAGAATGACTCTAAAATCCAAATAAAATGCAGTAAAACAATCGACACCATGAGTCAGTCAATCGGTGCTCCTTGCACTCCTATGTTTGCTTTGTTGCACTGAAAACCGTTGCAACAGGTTTATTTAGATTCGGAAAGGAAAATTGCTCATTGAGGGCACTAACCAGAATGTGCCCAGATTACAAGGATCAGCCAAGACAGAGCCATAACCAGAGTGGTGGATGACTTTTTTTTTTTTAATTTAGTTATTATTTCGAATTGAATGCGCTATGCCCATATCTGATCTCTCTGCATTGCTCACAATAGCTAACTGCCTTTAGTAAGGATAGCTGGAAAAGCCAAAGGATATGCTCCTTTAAAAAAATGGAACGGGGGGTGGGGAAGGACAACATATTTAATACATCAATCAAATCCCAATAATTATTACAAGATAAAATGCAGAGTTTTATCTTTTCACTGAAAAGGGATGAAGAAGTATTGCATGGAATTGCTATGCAACCCAGAGAAAATATTCCAATTGATACAAGAAGCAGTGCTGTGGAGAGGACAGGAAATAACATCAGTCAATTTATCTAACAATTTAACAGAAGGCTTCATGGTTAGTAACTCCAAGATTTTGAGCTACTGGGGATAAGCACACAAATGCCTATGATATGCTTTTCAAATAAGAAGCAATAATGGGTTCTATAGGGAAATGTTTTCTTCAACTAGAAATGTGCAACTTTGGTCTACAGTGCCCATCAGGCCAAGCCAGCAAAGCTAATGATGAAGGATGATGGGAATTATGGGCCAAATTTTTTGGAGAGCCAAAAGTGGCCCACTGCTGATCTAAATATTCCCAGTTAACTTTGCTCTTTCCTCATATGCTATATGTTCCATGCAGGCATAAAAAGATGTTTGAGGTTTCTACACATCCCCACTACAAGAGACCAACAGGGGGAAAACATCTTTACTGAAAGGGAAGATTCTTCTAAGGGAAGATGCTTCTGACTCAGGTCTGTACATTCCCTGTGTGGAATTGCAAAGAAAGCATGAAAGAAGACCAGCATTGCCCTTAAAGTTCCCAGGCATATTTATTTTGTGAAGTTTTATTTGGATATGTCTTAAAGAAATGTACCTTACTTTTTTTCCTGCTATGGAGAATTTAAATCAAAAGTTATTAAAACTATTGTGGATGTGTAACCATTTGAACAAGAATATGAGCACTGTAATAACTGTGCATCTTTAGTGATTCTTTTAATTCTGAGATTAGTCCTGGTTGCTTTGGACGTTTTGCAAAGCTAGATATTCATGGCAGTTTGGCAGAAATCATAGCTCACAGAGGAATATTACTAACACATACTGCCATAACCATGTCGGATGTGAACAGCTGTTATGAGTGAACAAGATGTAAGAGTTGCCTTTTCAAAGACAGTAATCTTATATGCCATGAAATATTTAAGTAGTTCACTTGATCAATTCCCCTCCACCTCTTGTGAGAAGTCTGAGGTTATGGGTTAAACAGCTCTACGTTCATCTTATGTCTTTGAGTTAAGAATCTGGAAATATCTCTTCAAATATGTTTGTGGACATGATGCAAATTTACATGCAGTTCTGAAATAAAGGAATTGTTTTTACACTTCTGTAGTCAGCCTTGATCAAGCACTCTTGCTGTCCAAGGCAGGAGAGACACAAGCTGCTGCAACATGCCCCTTCCTGTCAAATCATGTTTGAAAAATATCTTTATTAGAGAAGTGTGTTTGGGAGCACAGTCTTATTTGATGGCCAGTATCCCATGCTCACGCTTTCATACTGAGTGAAATGGATCCAGATACCCTAGTCCACTTTTAACAATGATGTGCTATCAGATAACTGTAACAATCTCTGTTGCCATAGCACAGAAAACAAAATCCCTCAAACAGTGGTTGAACTGCTGCCTCTTTCTGCAAGGTGTTTATTGAAATGCAGTTGAGGTGAGCAGTTGAAATGCAGGGGTGGTGCAGTTGGTTTGTTGGCATCTTTTAATTTAGTCTTATGAAATGCTCAGCTGTGTCCAACCATCTCTCATTACCTCTTAAGCAAATGGTTTTTCACTTTATTCTTTATTTATAAGGGTAGTTCGGTACTATGGTCAGCACAAGGAAGGCCATAAACTCTGCAACTGTTAAGTAAAATGCTGGTGTGTTAAAAGGGCAGATATGACTGAGGAGATTTGAAGCATTTCATCATCGGCAATCATCTGAAATAAATGAATATCTCTACCAGAAGAAGGCTGAAGTAGCAATAAACTGGATTCTAATTACAAAGTACAACTGGCCAATTTTTTCTTTCCACTATGGGCAAAAACCATGCACTGAAAGAGAGCCCTAAATGAGGATTAAAAATAAATGGAGAAAGTGAAGAAGGAGTTGCATTATGTTCAGAAAGATACACTCAATATTTCATCCCAGCTCGCCCAGGAGAAGCCTGTCCAATGGGATCCCTACTTACAATGGCTCTGCGGTCCGGTTGATCCGGAGCACCTCGATGTATGTTCTGGGAGGTGAGGAGCATAACTTCAGTGAGCCTTTAAAAAAAAGCAAAAGTACCACCAGCCTAGATTCAACTGCCTGCTTCCAGCTGAAGGAGGATGAAAAAGCATGGATGTATGCAAAGACCCAAGACTGTTTGCAGTACTTACAGGATTTGTTAGCTTTGCGGAAAAAATATCTGGCGGGCATAAAAGATTTGAAATCCATAAACAGAGCACCTGAAATTTCTCCTGTGTCTACAAAAACTTCCAAGACAAGAAAAAAGCCACCAGCCCCATCACCTTCTCTGCAGTCTTCCAAGGTAAGGAATATTTCATCCCGTGCTTAAGAAAACCTTCTTAAAATGAGTTTCATAACAATGTACATATGTGGAGACACCTGCAAAGCATATCCACATAAGTCTATGCCATAACAAAGATTAGTCTTCATTGTTTTTGAAACAACAGGTTAATACGGTTACCCATCTGTAAAATGTTTTTTGTTAATTTGAATTAACTTTTTTGGCTCTGTTTCCCATTCAAGTTGCTCTCAAGTTGCTCTTCAAGTTGCTCTCTGAGATGAGATATCTATATTCATCTCAGATATAGTGAAAATAGAGGGACCCCCCTCCCATTCACCTCTTACTTGGTCACACACACTGCCCAATCATACACATTCATAAAAGTGGCCTCTTAGTTTCTGTGTAGCCCATTTACTCAAGCTAGGAAGATCTCTCTAGGTCTAGTGCAGTGAGAGCACCTAGACTGGTGGAAGGGCAGCCTTTTCTTCTTTGCTTTAACACCTCTGGAATGTGGAACTTTGTCAGCAGCCCATACAGTGACTGGTGAGTTCTAATTTCAGGCAATTGAGGCCATGCCTTTCCAGTGAGCAGTTGGGGAGCTTCAGGAACTGTGTTTAATGGAGTACTTGCCTTTTTCTTTTTTTCTTTTTGACAAGTCCCTTTTATCTTTTGACAAGTCGACCGAACCATTATTTTTCTACAAATGTATGCATTCTGTGGTTCAGTTTGCACTTCTAATGGACCATCCAAAACTGGCTTTGGCTTCACAAAAAAGAACGTTCTCCAGTAGATCAAGTCACATACTCCTTTAGCTGCATCAGTGCCAACACAGATTTGAAGTGCTGCAGCCCACAATGGAATCTTATGCAAGTGAAAGGATACTTGCATACTACTTATGCTCAGTAGAGGCACAGGTCCCCACTCCAATGCTGGCTTGTGCAGGATTACACTCTAACTGCAGGCAGTGAAAGGCAGGGAATGAGATGCCCCATGTAACCACTGAAACCCATAGAAAGCCCTCATCTACAAAGACAAAGCACGGGACTGATCCCATGCAGGAGACTGTGGATTCTCTCTCACACACTCACACACAGCTGTCAACTTCAATAAAGCCTCTGCATGTCACAGCTTGCTAGGAAAGGAGGAAAGAAAAGTGCAGTGGGGGCTGATTTTTTCCTGCATGAGTGTCGGGTCGCATGGCCAGCAGGAGGGCAAGAATTGTGCCTTCCCAGTGGTCATGGGATCCTGCCACTGTGGCTCATAGACAGGACCTTTGGGACTTTATGCTTTGCTCCCAAGTGCTTGAGCACCTGGTAAACTTTAGCAATAATATTAATTTGCAAAATGGATTTTGTGTCAAATTTGCATTTGAGGCGCTTAAATTTATGTAAGTCTCAGTGTGGTACAGAGACTGCATTCACAGATAAGTGCATAGGATAACAGCTTCTGCTCCTTCTCCTGTTTACTCAGTGTGAATAGCTCTTTTAAAGGCAATTCTGGCTAAAGTTATTCTGCTAGATGCATCACTTTGCATGGACCTGAAGCTGGTCTATATACTCAAGCAAAATATCATACTGTGAAGCCCTCCTGGGATTTTATCCCTTCAGATTTTTTTCTTCCTGACTAGAGAACAAACATGGGAAGCAGCCCTGATCTGTCCAGGATGGTCTTAAGTGGGAGGAAAAATATAACTTTAACAGCCTGCTGACAACAATTGCATAGAATGTGCTCTTCCTAATATGGAAATGCTGTGATGGGAAGATTTAGCTATTCCATTTCTCCCTGTACTGCAGTTGTTAAAGGTGCAGGGGAGTCTGGGGAAAAAAGAGGTGGCAGCCACAGATATTAAGTTGCATCAGAGGTACTTTGAGAAATGGTTCATTAAAACAACAAGGACCAGATGGCAAACAACAACAACAAATCCTCAATCAACATACTTCAGGGCAGAAAAGCATTTGAAAATCTAAGAGAACCCAGGACCCATGATCTCCGTAACATCTGCATCCAGTGTTAGTAAATACAACATTGTTTGACTGAATTCAGCTGAGCACTTTCCCAACATTGCTCAGTGTTTTGTGTCATGGACATGATGAGCCTGTCAAGATGAGCTTTGTTGTATTCATTCTGCGTACCATGAATATATACAAGGATGAAAACAAAGGGGACAATCCAGTGTCTTATCACTTGGTTTTCTTCTCTGCTGCAGGTAGCACGTGGTGCATGGATGCTCCCTTCCCATCTCTACTGCTCCTTCCCCCTCTGCCAGACACAAAGTGCATGCTTGTGCATCCCATGTGTGTGTGTGTGTTAGAGAGAGAGAGAGAGTTTTTAAAAATTTCCACTGCTTGACCAAAATCAGTTCCTCAAAGCTGCTTACAAACAAATAAAAATGACAAGATAAACTAAAACACCAAACCAACATACGAAGTATATAAAATAACAGAATAAAAAGCAAAGATAAACCAGCAGCAAAGGGTTCAAGGAACAATTCAGTCAATGACCAAACATCTCTCAAATTACACATTTTGATCCTTCAAGAGACACATAATTTGCTTGCATGAATATTGGATTGTACTTTATAACTACAAAGCCAGTTTTAGTCCCATGGAACTGCTGTCATGTCATCCTTTTCAACAGACCTCAACCGAGAGGAAAGTCTCACAGCTCAATTCAGATGTTATCGAGGCAATAGCTTATTTTGACTCAATTATCGCAGAGCTGGATGCAGAAAGGCATCGGAAGATAGTTGTGAGGGATCATTGGCATGCAGATGTCGATTTTGAGGGTAAGTATTTGGCCGTATGCCTCAACTCTGGATGAATCCCAAACCAAGTCAGGAATACTCAGGTCGACTCAGGAGATGCCTCAGTCAAAGCAGACCAGTTCCTATCTCAACACCCATGAAGATCCGAGATACAGAGATACACACCATGTGACCCCCAATGCATTCTCCCCCAAGCTCTTCTCAGAGGGGAAACACCAGAGTGGGGGGGGGAGAGGAGAGGAGAAGAGGAGAGAGAGAAATAGTTCTGTGTTGGCAGTTCTGGCTTCCAATCACAATGAACAGTTTTTACCAAGGCCCTCCAATCCCAGTGCTTTGGGGAAGGAATGCTGCAGTATTGCAGGACTGATCCAGTGTTCAGTGCTCTTTGTTAGTCCTCTTTCCCAGGAGAAGGAATGATAAAAGAGACTGAGGGATCTGGAACAGTGTAGCTTTGCATGCTTGCTTTGAAACTGCTTCACATTCTAGTCCTTCTGCTTCTGCCGCTGTATGTTCCACATTGATCACCACCAGTGCCCCCATCCCTCTGCACTTTCTGTGACTTTGGTGCCAATTGCTGCATTTAGTATGAATACCTACAGGGAAAAGGTCTAAAGGGATGGGGTGGTAGGGTCATAAATTTACACATAAATGCTTATGAATTTTCATGTCAACTTGACTAGTGTAGCCTGTTCACATACAGATTTTAATTGCCAGCAAAAATATTTAAATGCAGGCCTCTATTATATAATAAATAGCAGTGGCAAGGCATGGTGAATTCAGTTTTGAGAAAGAGTTAAGTGTGAAAACAGCCCTAAAATACTGTTTTTCCTTGTACAATTTTAGACCTGGATTTACAGGATGTTTTGTGATGTAGACTGGGTTGCAGGTTCTGCTATGATTCAATATTTAACCAGCATCAGCTTAGGCCTGGTTTCTCAGGGAAGCAAAATGTCAGCACCTTAGAAAGTTCAAAGTGGTGCTGGGTCTGTAAAGCAAGCAGGCTTGTCCTTATGTTGCTCCAACAAGAAGCAGATCTAGACTGAGACTGCATTCAGACAACACAGGAAACCATGGTGAGGGTTTTTTGTTTGTTTGTTTTTTTACTGTTGTTGGTCTATCATGTTGTCTGAATCCAATCATGGTATTTCACCATGGTAAGAGGTCTTTAGAAACCATGATAAGAAACAATGGCTTGTTCTGTGATTTCTCTGTACTACCATGTCATGTTGTCTGAACCCAGGATCATGCTTTCCACAGTCCTGGTATACAGAATTGTCTGGAAAAGGTAACTGCTCCAGGAGCTGCCCTATGTGTGACCAGTGAAGCAGACAACATAGGAAGGGATGTACTTTGAATTTCAGGCGCAGCAGCTGATGGGACACAGTGTGAGGACTGAATGGAGAGGATGGAAACCCCAATTAAGTAGAAACCACTTGATTGACCATCAGGTAGCTCATGGTAAAAAATAGCAAACCCTGGTAACCATGCAGGATTGCTTGTCATGTTGGTGTGAATATAGCCTGAAACTGAAGCAAGTAGTTGCCTGTCTTTGGGCTGGTTGGCTCTGCTTCCACACTGACCAAAGCTTTGTCTCTTAAAGGGCCTGTTTTAGCTACCTCAAGCTGCAAGAAAATAGCTGTAGCATGCAAGCATGCTGAGGGCTGAAGTTCCCAGAGTCCAAAAATGTCAAGGCAGCCCCTGAGATCTTTCCAGAGAATGAGATCCTGAGGAGATGGAGACATCCTCTTGTCTATCTGTGGACAAATCCTCTTTGTGATTTTTTAACTGGGAAGCCCCCTTGGGGGACAAGGGACCAGGATTCTCTGAGGAAGTGGGCTTAGGATCCTCATCAATGACACTACAATGTTAAAAATTCACACTTTGGTTCCTTATTTCAGTTGTTACTAGCTCAAGAGAACACAGCTTACATTCCAACTGGATTCTTCGTGCCCCTCGGAGACATTCCAAAGATGCTGTCCAAGGAGCTAAGACAACATGCCAATTGGAAGGAAACAGCCAGGGAAGAACCATCAGCTCTAGAAAGAAGCTGCAAAGATATCCAATGTATCTACCAAAAGCTGTGGAGGGAGCCTTCAATACTTTGAAATTTAAACCCAAAATATGCCCAAAAGGACAGCTGTGATTTGGAATTAATATGAGAAACCCAATGTGGAATTCCTTCCTTGTGCAGGCAAGCTAAGCAGTTAGGGGCCTCTCTTTACAAGCCAGGTCTTTTTGCAAAATACATTTACAGCAATAGCTATTTCCTGGATGCATATGTCTCACAAATCGTCACTGAAGATTGCACATTGATAGTAGGAATACTACAGTGCAAAAATTTTGTAGGTTGGGAATGGAGTCACTCCCCTCACCTCTACCTCTGCAATATCACATCTCTTTGTAATTATCCTTGCCATACAGAGTAAGGTACAGACATGTAATGACTAACTGTTAGACATTTCCTGTTATGCTCTCAGTGATGGACTAGACAAATTTCTTTCCCTATGTGGTTTAGTAAGCTTTGTTTATATCATTCTTTTTTACAATTATTTGAGGATCATGCACTTCCCAGTTTAACAACCATCCCCCAGGGTTTAGTTTTGCAAGGAGAAGCAAGATAACACACTTTCCTACAATTTCATGAACCCTTTAAAACAATTGAGCATTTATTATCCACTTTTCCTGACAAAGGTTGCTCTTCAGAACCTGTATGTGTTTCCTCTCTTCTGCTGAAGCATAAAAAGCATAAAATACAGAAAATGTTATCCATAAAATCCAGAATGAGTAGACATGGGCCCAGATCCAAAGAACCACTACAGGTATTCTCTTATGCCTGTTCTGCATGCAGATTGGACATGAACCAGTGTCAGTGGGGTGTAGTGGTTAAGAGTGTGAGACCAGCACTCATGAGATCTGGGTTCTAGTCCCCATTCAGCCATGGAGCCAACTGGGTGACTTCAGGCCAGTCACAGACTCTCAGCCCAGCTTGCCTCACAGGATTGTTGTTGTGGGGATAAGATTGAGAGCAGCAGGAGGAGGAGGATGTGAGCTACTTTGATTTTTTTTAAAATAAAAATGGTGGGATATAAATCTAACAACTATATGAATATTCTACAAAAGAATTTTACAACTTTCAGCATTCCTCAGCCAGCCACGTTGGCTAGGAAATACCAGGAATTTAGGAGGGTTTCTGCCCAAACATGCACAGAACACACCTAAAACTTGTTCTAAGAGCTCAGTAAATATAGTTATTTAAAGTATTTATAAGCTACCTTCTCATTGCTACCACAAGGCAGCACATGCAAGGAAAAGACACAGAAAGTTACATTACGGACATCACATGATAATACAGCTCAGCTTGCTATATAGCTCATTCAAAGTCAACAAAGTGAAACTATTCTGTTGGGCTACTGCAAGTCTTTTCCATTAACCTGTATGGCCCTTTGGAGCTAGAATATTCCACTGTGAATCAGTATACTATGAAGAAAAATAATAGTTTTGGACATTTTATTTCTGATCGCATGAAAAGGCCCAAAGACCTTTGTTTCAGAATAACTGAAGCAGTGAAGGAATTATGAAACTACTTGAAGAAAATGGCCACAGTATTTTACTCATTATGGAATGTGCTAGAATAAAAAAAAGTACCCAGTAGAATGAAGGGTGGAGTTAAGACTGATCAAATGATTGCTTGATGTAACTGATAGAAGTCCTGAAAACAAACAACTGTTGACAACAGGCAGAGTCACAGTTATAGGGTGTCTCATGCTTTGTGCAGGCTTTTTCTTCTGTTTTTCTTGCAGGAGAAAGAGAGCATCATTTATATGCAGGTTTTTTCCCTGAGCTTTGCTTTCATTTCTTTCTAATATGCAGCAAAGTGTAATTGCTGAAGTACCAGAACTTTTATTCCAGTTTATCTGTCTGTAGCATTTATTAAATCATTATCTTCACTCTTAAAACAAACAATCAAAGAAACAAACAAACAGAAACCCTCATGAAAATAGCTACAAAATGCAGGAGAGGCCCTGGAGGATAACAATGTCACGTAGAGAACCCACCAACTTCCAAGACTGAAATATCAGAAGTTCACAATGAAAGGCCTGTGTAGAGAAGCCCCTAAATGATTTCAAAGAAGAGACTAAGAATTCTTCATTGGCCACCAGGAGGCACTTTATTCCTAAAAATTCTGCAGTCAGGGCAGGTTCCTCATTCAAGTAACACTTTCTGACTGTTTAAAGTGTTTATGTGCCACTCTCATACATTCAAAAGTATCTACATCATTTTAAAGAAAAGTAAAAAGTAATGTTTGAAAAATAAGATAAAATCAGATACCAGCAGGTAACAAACAAACAAACAAACAAACTTTAAAGCCCTAACAGCCTTTTAATTTGATGTCCAGGCACCAGTAATGTTGGTACTTCACAAATCTGCCTGCGATTAGTCTTCTGAAAATAGGGTGGCAGCACTAAAAAGGATCTTGCCTTGTCACCACCTATCTTGAATTTGTAATAGAAGACCTTAAGGAGGGCCTCAAATGGATCTTAAAGATCCAAAAGGTTCATACTGTTGTTATCATGTTTCATGTCTATACATGTTCTCTGGGCAGCTTACAACATTTATGCCTCCCATCCAGATTTCAACCCTGCTTAGCTCCAAAGATTAGGCAGGATCAGGCACTTCAGGCTATATAGGAAGTGGTGGTACTTAATGTATTGTTGCTCAGTCATTCGTGGCTTTGACATTCAGTACCTCTTCTTGGAATTTACTGGTAGAGAGTCAATGAAAATCCTTAAACGTGGGTAAGATCTGTCCGGAGCAGCACATTCCAATTAGTATGCCATGAAAGAGGGAAAAAGGTGGCTAGAAATATAAATAAATAAATACACTTGACAGTGCATCTTCAGGGTCAGCCTTATATTTAAATAGTCTTCATCTTCCTTCTGGAATAAAAAATTGGCACTTTTCTGTGTTTGTTTCCATTCAGTCTGAAAATGGATTGCATAACCTCAGAATGTAACCATTAAATGAACTTTGCAATCAGAGCCAGCCTCCTTCCTGGATTTGCCTATTTTGCATGTAATTCAACAAATTATAAAGGGAAGGAATTTCCAGAAAAGTTGCAATTGCAAACATTGTCAAACAGCAAGAAAGTGTGTGTGTGGGGGGGGGGGGAGGTAGCAGAATACTCCTGTGTCTTGCAGAAATTATGCCCTGATTCCCCAAAGGCCCAAGAGATCACATTTGCCACAAGCACAACCACCCGGCCTATATAGCCTTCACAGAAGACAATAGATAATTAGGTACCAAATTGAGAGAGGTTACCATAGGATTGCATTCCCAAAAGTAAACAAAACAGAAATAAACAATTTGGTACAATGTTCAAGGCAGAAAATGGCATTTTCACTATTAATTTTTTGTTTTATTTTATTTTATTTTATTTACATTTTTATTCTGCCCTATAGTCCTGCAGGGTTCTCTGGGAGGTGGACATGTAGAGAACAAGTTTAAAACATATAACAATAAAATATATAACAGAATTTGTCAGAGCTTGAATATCCTTGTTTTAGACCTAAGATGCTTTTAGTAGTTCACCATATTTGAGTGTTTCATTTCTGGTTTCTGAAAACTGACATTTGTGAGTCCCTCAGATAATGTCCATGGTCTCAGTCCCTATATTTCACTTGAAAGTCAGAGCATGTGCTAAATATATGATTCTTATCTGGTCAGCCTATAGTGTAATAGGCAAAGACTTTTTATGGTTATTATGAAGTGGCTGGCAATGGTTGGGTGAAGCCCTTTAATGGCACAGAAGTGAAGGGCAGCTGTTAGTGCCCTTGCTGGTGGGCATTGGCTGAGGCAGCCATTATTCAGCTTGGCATTGGCCATGCTAGCTGGAGATTATGGGGGCTGCAGTCCAACACATCAGGAGGCTGTCCAGTTTGGGGAGGCTAGGCTGAGGTCTTCTGATCCCAGAGAAAAGAGTGCCAAAGAGGGAGTCATGGTTGTCTTACAATGCTGTGATGTTGCTATAATCTAGTGTGGGCTCCAGGGTCCTGCTGTCTGGATTTCTTTCCTAATAGAAACGAATGCCAATGAGCCAACTGTTGGTCAGGGAGGGCCTGGCACTTCTGCCTCCCATTTGGGAAGCCTTACAGATAAGATGACTTGAACTGCTCTTGTACCAAGAGGCCAAGCTGTGTTGCATTAGCCATTAGGATCCCATTTTTTGTTTATTTCACTTCATTTTTTTAAAATTCAGAATGCTATTGGAGGCATTTAATTATCAAATTTCTTAAGTGGCCAGCAGGAATACAGTGGGGCAGCTATGAAAAATTCACATGAACTGCAATAGTTTTAAAGGCCTTGGCAGTTATTGGTGGCCTAGAAATGCAAATAAAATAAAATAAAATAAAATAAAATAAAATAAAATAAAATATGTGCCTACATATTTGTCTGCAGGCCTCTAGAATTTGTACACTCTACCCCACAATGAGGGATATTTCCTATATTTTTAGGAACAGTGGACTTCAGCTACCACTGAGATGAATGATAATAAATTATTAGGATTATACTTCAAATTATGGTTGCTATGCTTATTCCAAGGAGGGTACTAATAACAAATTGCTTCAGTCCTCCCAGCACTGGGCACTCTGTGCTCTGCTGAGATTCAGTGCACTGAATTTGTTCCCGGCTTGCCTTCCCTGTGGACCTTCTTGTCTCCGCTCGCTGGCTGTTGAAAGATTAGCCATGTGACCAAGATTTAGCTCAGAGCAACACCAGCTCCAGTGAGAATCTGTCATAATCTGGTTTAAGAGAACAGTACCATGGTAAGCATGCTTTCTTAGGGCCTGTTTTGACAGATACTGATGACTGTAGAGGGGGTGGGGAGCATGATAAAGCTGCATTAAATTTATTAAACTAAGTGGACAGAGAGCTTTTGTTTTTCTCCCATTGTATTAAAACTCCAAGTTAGCCAATGAAATGGATTGGCAGTAGATCTAGGAGAGCCAAAAGAAGCTACTGCTTTGTACCGTTAATGTGTGGAATCCCTGCCACATTGGAGGGCAATTAGTCAAATTCTTGCAATAAAAGCTAGTTGAGATGCCTCCATTATCAGAGGCAGTGAAGCATGCCAGTTTCTGGCAAACATGAACAGGATGTGATCTTCCCTTTGGGGGAAAGGAAACTGGGTTAATTGTACTTTTGGTGCTTTCTACCAGGGCTATTTTTAGAAAATGGCAAATTAGCAGACTAGTTTCAAGACCAAAAATATAACCCAAATATCAGAAATAGTGATATGAAGGGGAAGACACAAAATTAAATAGAAATGGACATATACAAGGCAGTACATAGAGAGGTAGATCAATGGGCTGCGGATATTATTATTATTATTATTATTATTATTATTATTATTATTATTATTGATATAACTGTCCGTTTCTCCCTAGTACGGATTTATTAACAGTTGTCTGAAGTCTCTTCTTACAGAGAAATTTGGTGAAGAAACATGGGAAATTCTCATGTAAGTATCACCACCGCAGCAACATTATGCAAGTGAAATTGAAATTTTCATGCTGTGATTCTCATAGAACCACTCCCTGAACATCCATCCACTGTTTATTTCACTCTGTTCAAGGATCTTCTCTACCTTGAATATACTGCATGCATTTATTCCAAAATAGGCTGTCCTGCACTGATTTAAAAGCCAAAACGGCCACTGTCTTTTTCATTAAAGTACTTAGCATTCAAATAATTAGGTTCTGTTTCTAATTGTTGTCAGTTGGTTGTACTTTTTAGATGATCAAATTATTTTCTAATTCACCTTAATACTGCAGACATATGTTTAAAAAGTCTTTGGGTTTCACTATACTGAACAAACTCGATTGTAAACACGGCATTTTATTTAGCTTCACACTCCTCTGCCATTTTTGCAGAACACAGGCTGGGACTGAAGACACTTTTATGACGTATACAGTGTATGATGACGCTGTCACACTAAAGTTGGTCCACGAAGCCTGCAAAACCCTAACTACTGAGATGGCTGCTGGTTTTACTTCTTACTTGGGGATTATTTTAATCTCACCTTATTTTTATTTGATTTCTGTTCTGCTGGTTGCTTTATTCCAGCTTACTTTTACATGGCTTGGTTCAGTTATATTTATTTTACAGCTTTGTGTAATTTTAGGAGCAATGCTTCTTGTAACCCAGTCCTATGCATGTTTACTCTGAAGTCAGTACAACTAAGCTCAATAGCCCTTATTCTGAAGCAGACGAGAATAGCACTGCAGCCTGTATTCATGGTCACTAGAATCAAGTCCTTTTGAACTGCATTCAGGTGGCCTTGACAACTTCACAGGAAGAGCCAATGGCTTCTGAACTGGGCCCTCTTCCCATTGAAGACTAGGGGCATTCTTTGTTTTATCAACCACCTCACCTCATCCCTCACCACCTGCACCTTCCAACTCCAGCACTTAAACAGTTATCCTATTAAAACTAACTAACTGGAGCCAGCCCAGTTGGTATTTTTGCTTTCCTAGCTGCTTTAGGGAGGCTGAGAGAAAGATCTTACTTATATCAGATTGAAAGAGAATATAGACAATTCTTAGGTTGCTTCCCCCTGTGTTTTTGTTTTGTTGTTGTCTTCAAGCCTTCTGGCAGTTACCCTGTGAGAATAGCACACATTTCTCTGGATGAATCAATTCCTAAGATGAAAGCCTCGGGATATTTGTGGCATCAGGACGGTGCGAAGATCCTGTACAAATATACCCCCAAGTGAGAGAAAGCATGCAAAGCATGGAGGTTTCAGCCTCCTACAGGAAACTTCAGGGAGGAAAGCAAAGTGTGTGTTTTCTGCTATGAAAAAGTATGTCACCCTTCACACCAAATGCTTATCCTACAACTTCTTTTCCCTCCACCCCAAACACCTCAAAACATGTCAAATGTTTAAGGCATGAGAATTAATCACACATTTGGGAGAGGGCAAAGATCCTTGGCTTGTAAGCAGTTGTAACATTTCTGCATCCAGCCCAGGGTTGGTTCCAGAAAGAGGACTCCCACTACTACAAATGGCTGACTTTGTATCTAGAGCTGTCCTTCTGTCAGTGAAACACACCCCACTTGCAGAATGGATTTCCTCTCTCCTTCCAGCCCTCCCTGTGTTCATCTGCTCCAGATATTTTGGAACCTTCTGAAGCAGTTTGGGGGATGTTGGGGGCTGTAGGGAGGAGAAGAACTGCAGGTTGGATGCATGGAAGTCTACCTGCCTCACTTTGGATGTAGTCCATTAGGCATTTTCATGCTGTGATTCTCATAGAACCACTCCCTGAACATCCATCCACTGTTTATTTCACTCTGTTCAAGGATCTTCTCTACCTTGAATATACTGCATGCATTTATTCCAAAATGGCCTGTCTTGCACTGCACAGGGCAGGATGCAGATTTTGGTGGCAGAAGAAGAATTCGCTGCCCCGTCCTTTCCTGGAAATGCTACACAGAAAGTTGCGGGGACCCCACTGGAAGGGCTGAATTGTGGTGCAGGGGCAGAGGGAAAATTAGACAGAGGCACTTTCATTGAGCAAACCCTTTCAGTAATGGAAGGAAAGTCACGGAACCAACCCATGATATTGGCTAGAGAGGAGGAACCCCCATTAGAAACAGGAGTGCTGCCACCCTGGCTCAGGACTCAGTGGTCCTGGGTTAATAATCCAGCTGGCCTTAATTATGACAAGCTGGGGGCCCCTGTCTCATCTGGTCTCTGTGATGCTTGTCAGGTCATCTGGCTCCTTCTGTCCTGAACTGAATTCAGGACCAACCAAACATTAAACAGTAGCAGTCACTGGGGTGTGAAGGTCAGCCTGAGATGGCCTGCAGGACCCTGCTGGTTGGAGAAGGGTCCAGAAAAAGGCCGTATCCAGCTTAATTCAGGGGTGTTGAGCATCAGTGGACCAAATCTGGTCCACTAGGGCTCTCATTTTGGAACTTCAGGGTGTTCCACCACCCTCATGCAACTGTTTGGGTATCTCCAGGCTACAGTGTCATTTCCCGCCCACCTCCTTCTAAAAGTTTTATTTGGTTGTTTTTGTCCAATAAATGAAAACAGCTCATCTCAAATCTGTAGCAACTGACACTGGATTTGTTTATTTAGTTTAACCAGGAGTCTAGTTTCACAACCATTGATTTCATGGCTTAAAAAACATTGGCTTGGATCATAAGATGCTAATTTAAGGTCGTTCCTAGAAGGAAAGTTCCCCCCATTCATTCTTTCCCCACAACGCCTCTCTTGAGCATTGAGGGGCTGTCCAATGTGAGATGTGATGTCAGAGGCTACCGGAGCAGGAGAAAATTGCCTCAAAGTGACCCTTGGCCCTCCAGAGAATCTTTTCAGAGAAGGCAGGTGAGAGGAGGGGAATGGGAAACTTTCCTTGAGTGTGTGGGATACTTACCTGGAACATGGGCTGCTATAAAATTTTTCTTACACAGGAATCATTGAAGCTGTGGCCAGAGAGTTCTTTGACAGTGAAGTAACTCTCAAAATTCTTAATCAAAATGAAGAAGAGGAGCTCACTGGGAAGACAGAGCATGTGATTTTTTCAATTTCACAGAATGAAAAGGCGAAGAGTAGGCACAAAGAAAAAGCAAATTCTGGCTGTGTAGAAAACTCTCAGGAGGATAAAGAGGTGACTAAATAAGTCCTTGCAGAAGGAGGGGTTTAAAACGAAACCCAGATATTCATAATCTACAAATGGGAACATCCATAGATTGCTAGGATATTATTATTATTATTATTATTATTATTATTATTATTATTATTATTATTATAACATTTCTATGTTCTAAGGATATGGTCTTCATCAGAAGGAGAGGGAATCCACAAAGAGCTGAACCAATGTCAACTGAGATCCTAGCAACCAAAAGGATTGAAAACCCATTGGCTCAGCAATCAGAGATGGGGAAGGTTGTGAACTCTCATTCTTTGAAGGTTTTAAATGAAAGGATAGAAAAAAACACATACTGGGCAACTTTTAGGTACAACATATTTTGCCTTATAATCCGTAATATTCTGTCTATTGGATTCCCTAAGACAATCATCTATGGATGTTCTAACTAGGTAGAATGAATTCATGTATGGCTGGGGAGGGGGGAAGCAGCCCCTTCCTCTGACCTACGCATACTATTTTAGATATCTAAAGCAACACTACAGCTGTACATGTGTAGGGCCCTCACTGCTAACGTTCACACTTCTGTTTCAGACATTGACATGAATATGCATACAATGGGGGCAGAACCTTTTAGTGGAATGCCTTCCTCATACCCATTGTGCACAGGTTGTCTCTTAGAATGTATGTGAAGGACCGTCTTCAATAAAGATGACATCTCCTCCATATGTTCAATTAAACACATCAGGATACATCAGTTTTGCTGCAGCCATTGGTCTGCTTTGACATAAATTGCTATAGGTCCTAAATACAGGAAGAGAAGGGGTGCTAGAGGCAGGTGGACAAGTTGATGGGTCAGATGGGGACTCCTGGCAGACAGTATCAGGCCTCTAGGCTGGAGATTCCCCATGTGCATTATAGGAGATGAGCATACTGCAGGTTTCATTTCAGTAATGATGCTGCTCCATTGTTCTGTTCCTCCCACCTATTCTTTTAGAGGCTTGACATGGCTTTTCAGAAAAGGAGGGAAGAACCTGCAGAAAAGGAATCCCGCTGGTACATTGTGAGAAATATTCTGAAATTTGAGGAAGGTCAGTTAGTTGTGTTTTAACTTCATGCATTCCAACTGTAGTGAACTACAGTCCTCAGTCATGTAAATGAGCTGGTCGGATGTACACTATTGCAGAAAACTTCCAGATGATGCCCTTGATGGATGCAGAAGGAGAGGGAGGCCTTGCTTGCTGAGGAGCAGAGTTGCTGAACTATTTTCAGACCATGAAAGGCAATTTTGTTCTGCTTAGTGATGAACTTCTCCCTTTCACTGATAGATCCTTTAGTTCAGGTTGGTGAAAATTGGGGATTTTATGCCGGGCTACACAAGTTTGTTGACTATAAACATTAAATCTGGGATAGGGATTTGGATACTTGGGACTGAGATACTTGGGAATGGTACCCTTCATTAAAAAATAAACAAGGAAGTTATATTTCAAAACTTTGAAATTTAACTTTGAAGTTATGTTTTGAAATTGTACAGGATTTTTCTGCTAAGCACTCTACTGTTTGACAGAACAGAAGTAGTGTCTACATATTTTTATTCCTACAGCTACCAAGGGTACTTATAGATAGAAGCAAGCCTTCTGGCAGCTGGGCTGCAGAATTTCTTTCAGGCCAAGGATCAGCTTCCATTTCAGAGAAGGTCTTGGGAGATACATTCCAGTGGGCAGGAAGGAGGTGAAGCCAATGGCAAAGGGGTTGGAGTCAAAGGCAAAAAGTGCAGACAAAAAATACCAGCCTTGAAGCTCTTACTGTCCATCTTAAGAGAAGCATTTCAGTTTTTAGACCAGGAGGGAAAATGTACAAAACCTGGGAAACCACCAAACAACTGGTGGTTGGGAAGAGGGTGGCTGTTGCCTTCTGGGGAATGCTGGAGGATTGGAATGGGACCCCAGGCAGGTGTGATTTGGCTCTTGGGCTGAGGTTTTGTATCCCTGTTTTATAGTGTTGGCTATGGGATGTGGAGAGCAACAAGCCATTTTGCTTTTCATTTCAAGCAGCAAAACGGAACCTCAGTATTCCTCCTTGAATAGGTTATGGAGGGAGAGGGGGAGAGAGAGAGAATGTGTGTCCCCATGTGAAGAAAGCCATAAGCCTGTCCAAAATGGAAAACAATAAAATTACTGTATATAGATCAAATGTGCAAATTCAAGCAAAGATCCTTTCTCTCCCTCTCTTTGTTTCACAGGAAAGTTTTTACATAAGTTTGAACCATTTGTCCCTGAAAGGATTTGGGTTGAGGAGAAAACATTCTGCTGTGCATTTCCTTTCCATATAATATTTGATGAAACAGTAAGTGAGCCCTTTGGTTGAGCACTTGTTCAACATTCAGTCTAAAAATGGCTGTTGGCCCCAAATTCCTTATCCATCTTTGTTGAATCCACTTCTCTGTTAAGTGTATGGAATGCTTTCTTCTTTTTTCCAAGTAAATACATGTGTCATTCAGCTTTAATACTTATGATCAGTCTTCTTGCTTATATTAGCAGGCCCAAGATAGGATTTCCCTTTATTTTGAGATATTTTTTGTTAGTTGCTGTTTCTCAGGAGAGTTTGAAAGACTTTGCTTATGGAATGTTCCTTTCTGTTCTCAGCTTAAGATAAAGCAGGCAGGCATTAACCTTCAGAAATTTGTACCAGGATTGAAGATACTTGGAACCAGATTAGACAAATATTTTTCCATTGTTCATCCACAAGTTACATTCACTATTTTCAGCATATGCAAGTTTATCAACAGCCAGTTTGTTCTCAGGACACAAAGGAATAAGCTGCCTCAGTCACGGAAGAAACAACCTGCACTGAAGCTCAGAGGTACCAAGTTAAGTTGCCTTTTGCAGAAATTTGAATGCTAAGGATTTGTATATTCATTTAACAAAAAACGTGCACGACTGCTTTCACATGCCAGCTAGGAGACTCAGCGGCAGCTAAAAATGCAGGCAGTGTAAGTGCTTCTAAAGAAACACTGACTGCAGTTTTATAAAAACATAAATAAATAAATAACTGGAATGATATGGAATCAGATTTAGAAAACAGAATCCCACAGGTTCTGGCAGTTTTTAAACAGGTTCTATGGAAATGTTAACTTCAATTGTTAAGATTTTGGCAACTGCACAGGAAACCAACTTAAACTCCTGGTTTTTTGGGTGTGTATGGGTGGAGAACAACTCCTAACCCTTGAGACTTGACAGACCCAGATCTTTCAAAGTTGTTTACCTTTTAATCATAGAGTTTTTTCCTTCACAAATGAAATGCCATTAGGATTGTTCTTATTTGCAACACAAAACAAAATATTTATTTAATACTCTACAGATCTATTGGCCTTTTCATATTTTGTAGTTAAATTATGCAGGCTTCTTTGCTTGCCTATTGTATTTCTTTATTTCACGTAGTATAAATATGGCAAAGACCTATGCAATTTTGCTTAGAAGCCCTTTGTTCATCTTCAGCTCTTTCAATAACTCACAAAAGAATTCCAAATTCTGGATTCCAAATTCTAAAAGCCTAAAGTATACTATGGCATGAAGCATTTCCAACATTTGAGTTTTTTGGCAGTAAGGTCTGGAGTTTTGAAGCACACAAAACTTAGATTCTCTATTAATAGTTTAGTGACAGCTTTCTGGGGAAGAGTCAAGTGTACTGGCAGTAAGTGGAAGCATTCTGAAACATCGTTCTGTAATGTGTTTACTCTGGAAAGGACAAATGATCTGGATGGAGTCTCTCCAGTGCATGATGTACTTGTGCTCCCCAAAGTTACACAGTTTAGAGGAGCTGGAGGAACAGCAGATGCACCTTTCTGATCTTGCTCAGCATGACACCACAAGGGACCTCATCCTCTTCAACCAGCAACGTCTGGCAGAAATAGAGCTATCCAACCAGTTAGAGAGAAAGAAGGAAGAACTCAGGATTCTGTCCAAAAATCTGGAGGCAGAAAAGAAGAAATCAGAAACCTTGCTGTATACCATGTTGCCAAAATATGTGGCCAATCAGCTAAAAGAGGGCAAGAAGGTGGAAGCAGGTGTGATTTTTTTTTTAATTTCCTGAATCCTTTGGGGTTTTTTCCCAGGATTATATCAGTGCTGTTGTAAAAGTCTGCATCACTAACAAATAGCAACTAGGAAACACCACTAAGAAAAGGAGTTGTGGGACTAAGCAGGTGATCTCGGAACAGCAGCTGCTGTGCCATTGCTGAAATTGGGTGGGTGTGCACTTGGCTGGCAGTCTGAGCAGATATGCCTGCTAAAAATGCCTTCCTGGCAAGTGTGGGTGATATGTTTACTTTGTTAAAACACAATAAAGCAAAGAAAAGGAAAACTGAGTGGCTCCTGTGATTTCTGGGAGCTTGAGGGGGTGAAGTTTGCTGCTGCAAGGGCCAGAGAATTGGGCATCGAAGAATCCTTCCCCAAGAGAATCCTTCTTATTTGCATATTCTGAATCACATGTTTATCTGGCATATTATTATATTTTTTAAAATTGATCCTTTCAGATGCAGGACTGGTAGCACTCCCAGTCAAAAGCCATTGTGTGGCTATTTTTTTCTCTTCTTTAACACATTTTCTGTGGTGGGAAAATATGGAGAAAATAAAAAGTCAGCAACATCTGGACATCCTCCCCACCCACCCACCCCACACACAGTAAGACTTTGAGAATGAGGCAAAGCATTTGCACAACACACAGCTTATCTGGAAGCACCTGAGGACCATCCTGCCAGTTGGGCTTGTAAGTGACTTGGGCAGAATCCAGTGGGACCCATGCACCAGTGAGACCCACTGTGCACGCTACAAGAAGCTAGCAGGAGCCAGAGCACTCGTTTCCATAACACAAGAGGTCAGCAGAGTTAGCAGAAGGGAGTCTGCCCCATTCCAGAAAGGAGCATTCTGGCTTATTCCCAGACCTGCTGTGGGAAGCACTAGTTTCCCACTGCACCAGTGCTTTGTTCCTGGTGAGCAGCATCAGTGGAATGAACAATTATTATTGTTAATAGTAATTTAATTTCTATAGTACCTCAAAGCCGAAGCTTTCTGGTCAGTTGCCAGTATTAGATTGTGCCCCTAGATTTCAATAAGTGTGAAGAAGACCGAATGTGTCCTCCTTAAAATTTCTGAGATGTTGCAAAAGTTTGGTATCTTCCCTAGCATGTTGGCCCAGCATCTAAAGCACTTGCTTCCACTGATTCCCAAGTGAACCAGGCCATGCATGTTGGGACTGAGTTTTCCTCCACACTAACTGAAAAACTGAATCAAGGGGTACTTTCTATTGATTGTTTTGGTGGTGTGGAGAAAAGCAGCTGCCCTATGTTCTGTCCTTGTTGTTGCTGTTTAAAAATAGCTACTTGTTACTTTTACTTATTCCCTAGGGGATTTTAGTTCCTGCACAATACTTTTCAGTGATGTGGTGACTTTTACAAACATCTGCTCTGTCTGTGAACCTAGTCAGATCGTAAACATGCTTAATTCAATGTACTCCAAGTTTGATAGACTAACTAGCGTCCATGGTGCTTACAAAGTAAGTTTTCCTACTGTTTAAAAACATTTGTGTCACATGCTGAAAATTTCTCACTCATGTGTTGCTTCAGGCCAGTTGTGTTGAGCCACACTGATCTGAAAAATGGTTTAGATGGCAGGGAGAATGAGACTATTCACTTACAATGCACATTAAGGGTTCACACCTTCTAGTTTAATCTCCCTAATAGCAGTTCCCATTTCACTATGCCTTGATTTACTTAGCAACTCACTCTTCCTTCCTCCTTCCATTCCTGTGAAGACTTTTCCTGGCTACCCAGGAGGTAAAACTCATTGCTAGAACTTTTTATTATGTACCCAGGACAGATTCATGTCTCCATCCATCATTGTCCCCACACCACTAGGTCAGTGGCCACTCACAGTGGGCCCTCAGGAGTTAGCAGCCCCCGATCCCTATATTTCAGTGGGCCCTGGTATGCCAAAGATCTCTCTCCTTGTAAGGGTCAAAACAGGAGGGGAGGAGGTACAGCAAGTGGGCCAAGCAGTTTGGTATGTTCCTTTAGAGCATGTATGTAAGACAGTTCTGTCCTTGGCAGGGTTAGGTCTTTCTGTGCCAATGGTATGTCTCTTGGTTTCCTCCCAGGTGGAAACAATAGGTGACGCATACATGGTGGTAGGAGGGATCCCAGTGCCTGTCACCAGTCATGCTGAAAGGGTGGCTAATTTTGCCCTGGGCATGAGGATTGCTGCAAAGGACGTTATGAACCCCATTACTGATAAGCCTATGCAGGTAATCAAAACCTAGAAGATTTCACAGCAGTCTTATTGGAGATAAAAGCTGCTCACCATCCCAGTTGGGAGGGCCCAGAGAGTGCTGGGAGTGTCACCTGCTTCACATCCTTCTCCATGGGAGGTGTGGGGCAGGCTGAAGCACCAGGTGGATGAGTATTCTCTAACTAGTGCCTTGGCCAAGGCAGCTTTGTTGTAAGCAGGTTTCCCTTGCATGTAATGAAACTGGGTCCACCACTGAGAAACTGTATGGAAGGAGCCAAGGGGTGTGCCATCTGGTCCCCCAACCAATTTATGTTCCCTATCTCTTCTACACACACTTCCCTGGGAGTAAGTCTTGCTGAATCTAATTGAACTTACTTCTAAGTATGAGGAGGTATGTATAGGATTATGCTGCAAGGCTTCGTTCCCTTACTGGAGTGTAAGCCCCATTAAAATAGCTGGGACTTACTTTCTTAGAAGTATAGATCTTTGCAGCATCGGACTTTCCTTTCACCACCAGATATATCTGCAACCGAGTGTCCTTTCGGCTTTGACCCAGTCGCTTCATTCTTTCTGGCGCTACTAGTACTAGCCCTCTGCTCTTCCCCAGTAGCATATTGGACACCTTCCAACCTGAGGGGCTCATCTTCTGGCATCATACCTTTTTGCCTTTTGGTACTGTCCATGGGGTTTTCATGGCAAAGATACTGAAGTGGGTTGCCATTTCCTTCTCCAGTGGATCACATTTTGTCAGAGCTCTCTGCTATGACCTGTCCGTCTTGGGTGGCCCTGCATGGCATAGCTTATAGCTTCATTGAGCTACGCAAGCCCCTTCACCACAACAAGGCAGTAGGAAGTGACACAGAACTTTAGAATCAGAGTTTCAGATCACAAGCATGGCATCAAAATGCCAGTCATCTAACTGGCCATCTAGTTTTCTTTGCTAAAGTGCCTTATGCTGGCTGAACAACTTTTGGAACCCCAAACAGCCCGCTAATTCTGCAATCAGGGGATCCATCCATAAGAACCAAAAGTAACAAAAGATGCATTTTGTTTTGAGTCACACCTATTGCTGAAGATCAATGTGTGACTCTGAAAGCTGGCCACTGCATAAGCAACTGGTCTGTTCAATCACGATATTTCAGTTAAGGCCCACGCAGGTGTTACAGCCCACATAGAGAGGTGCCGTGGAGCTGCATATTGAGCTAACTGTACAGCTCTTCCCAGCAGGTCACAAATGGAGACATGCGTTCTTTGAAAGGGAACTTCTACTACTCTTCTAGGCTTCTCTGTGCCATAGAGAACCCTCCTTTTCTGGGGTTCCAAATCCCACATGATGCACACCCCACAAGCACCCTGGTCCCTTTCTAGCCATAAAAACAGAAGTAAGTTTTGTAGCACCTTAAAAACTAACCATTCTGATATATACTTTTGTGGTCTACTGCCCACTTCTTCAGATGCGTAGGGTATTACGAAAATTTTCAGGTTTTTATTCAGTACCATGCAACTCCTGCATAGATCATGCTCTTTCATAACTTTGCTATGGAAAAGGAAGCATTTTGAATGCATTCTATATTTATTTAGCTAAAATGCCCCATGGTGTAGTAAAACAAATTAACATGGTCCACTGAAGAACAACTTGTTTCTTTTAGAGCTGAAATGAAAAGTTATATCTCCCTGCCCCCTTCATATTTTCCTGTAGTGGTTATGCCAACAGATTAGAATTGGGGTACATACTGGACCAGTACTGGCTGGAGTGGTCAGGGAGAAAATGCCCAGATATTGTTTATTTGGTGACACTGTCAATACAGCCTCTAGGATGGAAAGCCATGGGCTTCCAGACAAAATTCATGTCAGCCCAACAGCATTCAAGTAAGAGTCCACCAATGAAGCATGCTACAAAGAAAAAGAAATCTTTTGCTTTTTGTGTTTCCTGCATTGTCTATTCCAAGCTATCAACTCTCAGGCTTTTGCAGGCGGCCTCATCACAGACTACAGCACCTCAACACACTCCATATAAATGACCGAGCCATCTTCAGGGCTAAGAAGCAATGGCTTTTGTAACAAACAGTAAAGGGGGTAGAATTACAAGAATTCCTTGTTCGTGTTCTGCTTCAATCCATTCTATATATCAGTAATGAACTTACTTATGCAGCCAAAACAACTCCATCCTTATACAAATGACAGGTGTAAGCAGGCTAGAGGGAATCTCAATGTTTGTAGAAAAACAAACCAACTTTAGAAAGATGGAGGAAACCCCACAAAAGCCCAATGAGAGCTAAACATGTTTAGGGGGTATGCAATGCTGACCTGGGGCCAAATTAAATAATGGCTTTTAGAAAGTAAGTTGTAGGTGCAGGGCCTCCAAATTGAAGCCCTGGTTAAAAGTTCCAGAATTTTAACTAATAGAAGAGTTTTAACTGAGTGGTTCCTGATATGGTCCCACTGGATTTGACCCTGTGTGTGCTATTTGCACTGGAGGAATGGGAGGTTTCCCCCCAGTGCAGCCAGCTGGTGTAGGGCCCCCAATGTGGCTTGGGACCACAGTGGGGAACCCCCCGGGCAAGGGCTAGATCTGGACTTGCACCCGCCTGTCTGCAGTGTACATTTAAAAAATCTTTCATGCAACTGCTGATTTCATGGAATATTGTGGAAAGAGGTATAGCTAGCTAGTGGTCTCAAATCTCGACCAGGTTGCAGCATCTTGTAGTTCTTTCTTTTGTAGTGATTGTGATGCGGTTATTGTGACAGGGTGAGCTTGTTGTAGGAAGACAAGGTGCGGTAGAACAAGGGTGCTTAGATAGCAAGACTCAGGGGGGCGGGGGGGGCGCTGTGTGGGACACATGACTGTGAAGTGTTAACAGCATAATGCATACCACATTTGTTGTGTTTCTTACACTGCACAGAGCTTTACCTCAACATGTGTTTGAGATGGTGGAAAGGGGAGAAATAGAGGTCAAAGGTAAAGGGAAAATAGAATGTATTTGTGAGGCAAAACCTCTGGGTCACGGAGAATGAAATAATGGGTCAAGCCGAAGTGACTTCTGATAAGACAGATGGCAAAGGCCTGTAGAAAGCAGCATAGTTTGACCCTTAATGTTTGTCATTCTACTCTATAATGTCCTGCCCTGCACTTTGTATCTCTATGGAAAGGTCCATTCTGATAAAATCAAGGACTGCATGTCTTGCATTTTGTTCAGCCCAGAGCCTCAACATCTGAAATGACGAGGCTCTGGGCCAGAGCCCCCCGTTTTTCAAGGCCACTTCACAGATCGAAACCAGAATACAAGAAACGGGTGCCTTTGGGATGCAAAGGGGCTCATTTTCCACCAGGCTCCACCCCATCCCCTTCTATGATTATGACTAATCTCTCAGACGCTGCGGCTGGTTGACCATAAAAAGGAACTGTTTGCCAAATGTTCTAGGAACCACTTGCAGCTTCTAGGTAGAAGAAATTAGCAACAGTAAAGGCTAGGGGTACTTGCTGCCCATTTGCACCAAGAAACACTTACTTGTCCATTTATTTACCTGGGATCTTTATGGGATCAGCAAAGACTCCTACAATGGCTAACAGTATAACAACCATCAGCACTGACATCACACTGTATTTGTATATTACGTTTTTCTTCCTTGTGAGCAATCCAAGAAGGCTCACATGGCTCCATTTTATCCTTACAACAACCCTGTGAAGTAGGCTGGCCTGAGGGTCTGACTGGCCCAAGTCGCCCAGTGAGCTCATGGCCAAGTGGGGACTAGAACCTGGATCTCCTGGGTCTCCAGTCCAGTACTCTCACCACCACATCACACCGACACTGAATTAACACTTCATGAGACGTTATCAGTAAGGAAGCAAACCATGCATGCCTTTGTCTTCCTGTTCACCCCCAAGTACTCTGCACCCAGCTATAAAAGAAGAGATCAGAAAATGCAGGCATTGTAGCAATAATGTCGTGCTACTGCTGCTTTTTGTAGTGACTTACCCCAACCTGGTGTCTTCCAGGGATGCTGCTCTGCAACTCGGTGGGCAACAACCATTCTGGCTGGGAATTGGAATCACAGAATAGCAGAACTGGAAGGGACCAGTAAGGCCACTGGGGCAGCCCCCTGCTCAATGCAGGGCTCCAACTTTAAGCATTCCTAACGGTTGGCTGTTCAGATGCATCTTGAGTGCTTCCAGTGAGCCCACGACCTCCCTAAGTAAGTTATGTGAGTTGCAGTCCAACACAGCTGGAAGGCACCAGGTTGGGGATGGTTATTTTGTTTATAAGTTTGCATGGCAGCAGCACATACTTTACTTCAAGTTTCTAGCAGGCATAATTTGGCTTTTACTCCTTCCTTATGAATTTATCCTTTCATGAAAAGATATATGAAAATTAGCGTCTATTGAAGGACCAGTTTATTTTCCAAATTTAACAGATTGGGTCAAATGTAGCTTAAACATATTTTGCACAGAATATATTTTACCTTATGTTTTACACTACCAACATTTATTAGTGTTGCTGACACCTTTTCTTTCTCTGTGCTTTGGAAAGATGCCTTGGAAAGTCAAAATGGCAAAATGGCTGCAATCATGAAGTATCCTGACTGTGAAGATATGCTCACTGCCAGGAATGTAGACAACAGAAAAGATGTCACAGGTTTGTTCCAACATTAACCAGTTCACCTTGTGCACGGAAACAGTAGGATGAGAATGGGCAATCATGCTTGTTTATCTCCGCATGGGCTTAGAGGGACAGAGGTTAGCCGCCTCCCCTGCCTCATAATTTCCAGTGGCCTCCAATTAATTTGCTCCTGTAAAGGATGAAGAAATTCTGAACATATACAATCAGCCTATATTCCACATGGTTTCAAATTAAATGCTAGATACTTGTAATTTATAATGTACTTTAGCAGTTCGAGATGACAATCACAGCTTACTTAAATTAGTACAGCACTATTGATTTCAGTGAAATTAAATACATGGAAGCAAGTCCACTGAAGTCAACACTGCTAATGCGCAATGGTGCACAACTGGTATTATTTATATCACACGTTCCAGTGGTGGAAGGGGCCAAACGCAAAAGGGGTGGAGCTAAAATGTCCTTGTAGTTCAGCTTAAAGTTCTTACAGTCAGTAACTAAGCTTGGAGGAAGACACTTCAGCCTGGTGGAGCAGGTGTCTATGGCTGGTCTGTTCCAAAAATGGGTGATCACCAAAAACATGGTTCACAGGGGAACAGGCACTACAATCTGGGGAATCCCAGAGCCAGACTGGGCCCCTGGGCCAGATCAGCAGTACATACTCAGGCAGTATCCCATTGACAGCAAAAGCAGACAACTCCTCCAAATCCAGGATGCAATCAACCCACTGCCCCTTCAGAATCTACAATGAAGTAACAAAAAGGGAAGATCTTTTCACATGGTTTAACTTGCAGACAGCATGTCTGCAGCTGTACAATTTCAGATATAAGATGTTATAGTTGGACACACATTCTGGAACATTCAGGAACAAGAGCTGAACTCTAAAGCTGTATTGAACTTCCTCTAACTGCCCACTGGAATAATTGCACTTTCCTGTGAAAAGCGACCGGTGGGGGGATTACCCAGAGGATGGCTAACGAATTGGTTCCACACTCAGCTTAGCACTAAATAGGAATCTTCCAAATTATTTTTCTCACACCTTTGCTCCCTTCTCCCTGGTTACCCATTAGGGGCTGAAAGCGATCGTCCCTTTGGAGAAGAATCACAAGTGCAGGATGAACCGTCGCTTTCTACACAGCCAAGGTCCACCCTTCTTGGCAACAACCAGCCCCCCTCAGCACTTTGCATTGTGTGTTAGAAACAGGTCAGCACTCCTGTTTGGGCCTTTTGGCAAGAACATCACCATGTTGCCTGCACCAGCATCAGGTGCTTCATGCTGTGCGAGGAATTAAAAAGAAGCCGGAAGAGCAGACAGTGGTTTGTTGAGAGCAAGTAGACCAGTTGCTTTTCCTTTTGTATATTTTGCTCTCCTTGAAACAATGGTTCAGAACCTTGTCCCAGGGGCCAAATCTGGCTCTAGAGGCTTCCCCTCCTTCCTTGGCCTCAATCCCTTTCCCCTAGCCACTGATTGTTTGGTAGCTTCCCATTTTGAAGGCATGTTCCCAGATTCTAAGAGGTTAAAATGCCTCTCCTAAAATTTAACTACTGGCAGTAAGAGCTTTAAGCTGGTATTGTAACCCCACCTCTTTTGCCTTCACCCCCACCCAACCCTTGGAAAGCAGCACACAAGAGCATCCCCAAAATGGAATTTGGGCCTCCAAATTGATTCAACAGCACCACAAGAAGCTTTCCAGTAGGGATGGGAGAAGCCATAGTTCTCCCATCCATCCATTCATCCTTTTACATCCCATTCATTAGCACAAATCTCTCAGAATAGTTGCATGTAACACAAATTAATGCATTATATTCAACAATACAACATACAAGACAGTCCAGGAATTCACTTTAATCTTGCCTATCAGTTTAAGCAAACAGAGTTCTTGCTCTGGATATTTGAATAAACTGTTAAATGCACACATTGCTAGGAACAGATGCTGTCCAAAATGGCACTTAAAAGGTAAAGAAACCACAAAATAGATAATACTGAGATTCAAATGCTGGTGAAATGCTGACAGTCCAACAACAAAACCACTACCTTGAGAAAAAACAGGGATGGTGTTCAAGATGAGAAATATAAACTATTAAAAAAGAATAGGCAGCACAGTACTCACAGAACCCCATAAACGTGGAACATCTTACTTGGCGTCCACTGAGTAATTACTAGTTTTTTAATCAGTGTGTTTTCGTAGCGGCAGTGGGGCCTGGTGTTTTAAGATGGTGAGTTTAAAGGAGCTTAGTGTGTTGGAGCTCAGACTCTACTTCTGCTGTGCCCCAGTCATTTTACCTGTGTGCAGGTTACTAGTCCTTTGTCCACAGCAGTCATTTTATGGCAGTGCCCAGGACAGATTTCTCAAACTGCTAAATGTGCCCATAACCCAAAATACTTGCCTATACCTGATTTATGCTGCAAGGAGATCTTTTAATGGAGAATGTTCTGTATAGATCCCAGATTAAGTATTTTTAAAATTGCACCCAACCTTGCAACCATAAACAATAACGAATCCAGACGTTTCAACATAAAACAAAATACTGCAATCACAGAGCCGTAAACCCAGTAGAACAAGCAGCAAGATGAGGAAAAACAATCACAATGAACAGGCAAAGTAGAAAATATTTCCCAAAAGTCTGGAGCAATGCCATTTAATCTGTATACTTGCAGGCATACACAAATAAACAAGGCAGAAGACTATGAATATGAATATGCTGTGCTACAATCCTTATGTAACAAAGTGGAACTAAACATGTTTTGTTCAAACTGGTCTTCTTCACCAGTCTAGTTATCTAGTTATTAAAACACTAAGGCTTTGATGCACATATAATCCACACCTCTCATTCATGGTTCTCTATTATGTAAAACTAAGGCTCCCCCACCTTAGAGTATACATTTGTTTTATTAAAAGACAAAGTTAAAATATCTTGTAATATGTGCATAAAATTATACATTTATTTTCATAAAAACTACATAAAAACTCAGCTCAAACACCAGCTGGAAGACTATACCAAGCTCAAAATCTTACCTAAGCAGGTACACACCAGAGTATTGCAGGACCAAAAAGTTCTTAGGTTCCATTAGATTGGGTAGTTCTGATGTAGGCAGAACATGTGCTGAAATAAAGGAATAAAGATCATCCATTCAAAAAGTAGGAGCATAAAATTATAATCACCTAGTGTGGGAAAACTAAAGGAAGTGCCTTTAAGTAGCTGTTTCACAGTGGGACTTGCCACTGAAAAGGCCATTTCCTTGCTTCACCTCTGGAAGCTGACAGCAAGCAAGGCAGCTTTGTCCAAGAGCTGGTGGATCTATAGATCTCTGTAATGAGCTTTCCTCTCACAGTGGCTAGCATTTTTAAAAGAAAAAGTTACCCATACGTACTTGCCCCTAATAGAGTAACCAATATTATCTGGACAGCAATCTGCCAGAAGGAGACAGCAGAAAATACATCAAGCCACAATTGCCTGGAGGAAAAAAGAGAAAGTTTAGTAAGTCAAAAGCAAGTGCTTCAGGCAAGAAATTCCTGCCACATACTACAAGGAAAGATGACCTTATCCAATCACACCTGGATAACAGATTCTTACAATAAATGTTACAGTTCATTAAAATGGCTTTAGGAATATTCCTGGTTAAAATAAGGCACCCACATTTCATTTTATCACCTTCATGTCTTCCTCAGTTGGCATAGTGAGGAAAAAAAAAAGCTGTCCTGAGATGCTCTCATGAAGGCCAAGATACAAATGTATTAAATAAAATAAAATAAGGGATCACATCTGTACATATTTTCCAACTAGTGTATCCATTTTTGCTTGCTGCTAATACATTTTAAAGCCATTGTTTCTGGCTCTGTTTCTACTAAAATGAGAGGCTTCCCTATCTTTCCTGAGTAATTTCCTACTGAACAATTGTTTGGTCTCTTCAAGTTGAGAGCAGCCTTATAAACTGTCACCTACATTAATATAGCCCAAGTCCCTATTAGTAAAAGGATTATAAATGCTCAGCATTTAAAACCCCTCAATGACATACATACACAAGGGCATACACAAACTAACTGTAATGACCAAAGAAGCTGTGTATTTCAGTGTCCTGTATACCCCACTTTTCCAACACTGAGATCAGTGATACTGGCACTGTCTGGGGGTGGAGGAGAAACTATTTGCCTTCAGCTGCACCCTTGCCAAAAGCTATTTTTCCATTCAATCCAATAAGGAACTCCACATAACCTAAATTTGTGTACCTTTATAGTCCAACAGAAATATCCTGTTCTCTCTCTCTCTCGGCCTAATACAGTATTACCCTCATATTTAGATGTGCAGCTTCTTTAAAATGATACTTCTTAAACATTTCCTGATTATTTGGAGAGAATCACTGCCCCTTTTATGGCAAATTTTACTCAAGACAGGAATAAAGAAAATGCATCAGACTGTATCACATTGCCAGTCTAGATAAATGGAGGTAACCTACTCTAACATTTTACAGGAAACAAAAAGTCCAATTCAGTTTTGAAAATACAAGGCGGAAACACAGTGCATTCTCCTCACTCCCATCTATCAGTAACACAAGAAACACAAAGGTTGACTTCTGACATGAGTTTATTGTATTGCATGACACGATAATCTGGCGCTTACACTAACAATGTTAATTTCTGAAGAGAATGATAAATTACCAAAAGCACTTTTCCTAGTGAGGACTACAGAAGGTTGCCCTGATTGTGTTTTGATAACATTTTATCAAGTAAAAATATTTCATTCTGATACAAGCTTAGTATTTTCTCAGCAAAACAGATCGTATCAGAACCATTTTTTTTCCTTTGACACTAATTTTAATTCTAGTATCCAGAAACCAAGAAGGATTACAAAGATGCTGGTCTCGAACAAAAAGGCAGAAAAACAGCTATGATATAAACACAAAGTTCATTCTGTTGCTTTAGTTTTGGTAGTAAAGAAAGAAGAAATGGCTTTCATGCCACTCTTATCAACTTTTGTGAGAGCTTTTTGAGCAGCTGACATCTTACTGTTTGCCTAGAAATAAAAATAAAGAGAAAGAGTAAAACATGTTGCTCATGCTATTTTGCATACATAATTTGCCAAATCACATGCATCCTTGAGCTTCTCTACAACCCTTTGCAAAAGATACATGCCACTTGGGAGTTTATTATAACTATCATGCAGATTATATTAAAAAGTTTGGCTAACATTAGAAATGGCTATCCAAGCTGGTCCACTATTTCTCCACATTTTGACAGGTGTGATGAGTTTGTCAGTTAGATAACACAAATATATATACAATCATTAGACCCATATCTTAATCTTCAAACTACATTGTGAAAACATTAAAGTATATGCATATACATTATGTGACTGATCATCCCTAAACATGGACTTCAAGACAAATACGCTAAAATGATTGTGCCGCTTTTTAGAAGCTTTATTTGACATAACTTGAATTATGGAGTGATGCAGAAGCACCCAGAAGAATGGGCTGAATGGACTTTGCACCACACCTTAATGCTACCAGACAAAGATTGAGTATAACTCACCAAGTTAAAACTAGTAAGAGGCAGCAGATATTGTGTTTTTAATATTTCAGTAGCTAGTGCAGCAGTTTCTTCAAAAGCACAGCTAGTCCTTTAATAAGCTTTTCCATCCGCTATCAATACTTTGACCATAGTTGGGTTATATTGTTTTGAAAGGCAGGATATAATTCCTCACATGCAGAATGCACTTGCTTAAAATCCCTATCCTGTTTTTCCTGTTTGAAGAAGCATCCTGCAAGAGCATGAGACTATTATCCAAAACATTCGGCAGAAGAAAAACCACCTATCCCTCTTACCTTTTTGCTTTTTAAATCACTGGTATTAAACTTGGTATAATCTTCTTCTGCTTCCACAGGTGCACTTGACAGTTTCCTTTTCTGCAATGTCAGAGTGATGATTAGCTCCATAAATCATAAGTTGTAGCACTGCACACACTCAACTTCAGCATCAAATGGATAAAAAAAGCACACAAAATGGCATCTTCCAGCTCTGTGGAGTAATTGGACAAGCTAATTCCTGAACAGGTAAATACAGCTGGAAAGGAAGCTGGGGTCAGAGTGAATGAAAGAAGGACATAACATGCTCCAAGTCAGGACATGAGAGACTTCATTGTTGGGAACAAGCACATGTGTGGGTTCACACTGTTTGAGCCGTCCTGCTTAACTCCTCCTGCAAATGGGAGTGGCTAAACAAACCTGGAAATTTCTGTCCATTATTTGTTTGGTGCTGATTCCTGGTATATTCCTCTTCTAACAAGACAGGTTTTGTTCTTGAATTATGATTCTGGCTTTTTAGGCCAACAAGAGATGTTGGTTCAGAGATGATCAGAGATGTTGGTCTGGATGCACATCTAAACCAACCTTCATTAGCGTGGCACCCTCCAGAGATATTGTACAGCAACTTCCATAATTCCCAGCCAACACATCTGAACAGGATCAGGTTGTGGAATTCTGGTTGAAACAAACCATGAATAGAGATTTCTTGATTTGTTTAGCTACTCCTAGTTAAGAAACAGCCAATCAGGAATGAGAGAACAGTGTGTGCTAGCACGTTTGCTTGTTCCCATGATGTCTGGACTGACAAGAGGAAGAGAGATCTGAAAGAAAGAAAACTGGAAGTAGTATAGGGATGAGTTAGTAAGGGGGCCAAAGACATTTAAAGAAAATGCACAACTGTATTTCCTTATATGGCCTATGTCCACATCAGTTCTTATGAAACACCCTTTTACTATCTTGGCTTTGAAGACCATAACTGCGATCATAACACATCACGAACAGTATATACTCCGTGCATCACAGAAAGCCTTTAAGGCTTTCTTCACAACCTGCTGTACTGTCTTGGATATACCCACATCTTTGCATACAGATTACAACTCAAACTATACAGTACCCCCATTTTTAGAGTATTTGGAGGCCCCATAATTTCTCTTTGGCTTGCATGATATGATATTAACACTTGTGAAAGAATAACATGGAAAGCACCACTGTGCAATTATCACAGGGCTTTCCTTTTAACTGCAGCAGCAGCATAGAACAAATAGATCTATGTTTATCCAGAAGATTGAAGTTTAAAAAAACATGCCAATAATATAGGCAGAGTATTATTTGGTGTGTATATAGAACACCTTGGAGTTAGACAATAGGCTATATACACGTGCCAGGACTTGCTTTGTCATAATCTGTAAATTTCTGAAATTCTATACTAAGGTACTTGTGATTTGTAGTGACCAATTTTTTAAGAACATATAGATGCAATTGGTTGATTAACACACTACAGGACATACAGAATTTCTGGGGTATACCTTCTTTCATACATGATGGCTGACAAACTAAACATTCTTGTAATCATGCATTGTTTTATACTTTTACTTCTGTGGAATTATGTGCAGCCCCATTTGGACTAGGATGACAATATGCCATGAAGGGGAGAATTAAGCCCCACCATTATCATTCCAAAATGTTATCCCTTCCTACACCCCGCAATGGTGTGTGTGAAAATAGCCTTCAATGATTCCAAAAGAGACTTTTAAAAAATGAGAACAAAAACAGGTGGTTGGGGGGTTTGGTTGTCAGGCTGGCTTGAAGAGCACCAAAAGACAAGATTGTAAACTTTTTAAATTGTTTGTAAACAGTTTTAGAGAGGTAGAGAAAATTTAGGGCAGTCAAGTCCCCTGGCCTGCAATGTGACTCAAGGCCCAGATCAGAGTACCTCCCCTCAAATGGTTTCTTAACAGTCCTATTTCACCATTATTTTTAACTTCTCCCACCCTCCTCCTCGTCTCAGGAAACTAGTCAGAAGTGTCTGAACATCCTGAGAGCTCCTTACTTTTGAAGCTGGCTCTGCTGGAGGAGATGCAATTTCTGGCAGTCTAGAAGACAAAAGGAAAAGTTGAGAATATCAAATGCTAAAACCATCCAATTTAAATCCTTAATCAGGGTTGCATCCAGAGTTCCTGTAACCAAAACTCTGCTCAGTGGATGCTCTTAATCCAGAAAAAGAGAAGTGAGGGGATAGAGGAGATTCTTCCTTGTTCTTCCTCTCAAAAAGCCACTTTGAAGGGGTTTGGGAGCTGGCTGAACAGTATGGGAGATGGCCTTGAAGACAACAGGAGCTAAACCAGAGAATCTTCATCCCATCCTTAAGAAGGGTCCTCAACGTGGCACCCATGGACACCTCTAAAGGCACCTACAAAGGAGGTGTAGGTGCCCTTGGATACTTCAATTTTGAAGTTAAATTTTAAAATTTTCATATTTTAATATACTTAATGCATTTATATAATATGCATACAACTTTCTAGCAATTACACACTGGCTTCAACATACACTAGCAATTATATGCTGGTATCCAGTTGAAAAGGAAAAAACCCTTTTGAAGATTGAAGGCAAATGGAAAAGGGGAAGCAGAGGATGAGAGAGTTAGGTAGTGTAGTGTCACTGACGCAATGAACATGAATTTGGGTGCACTCTGGGAAACAGTGGAGGATGGGAGGGCCTGGCGTACCGTGGTCCATAGGGTTGTGAAGAGTTGGGCTTGACTGTGCAACTGAAAAACAACAGCAGCATCCAGCTGAAGTTGGTGTTAATATGCCAGCCATCCATATAGCAGAAGCACCTCAACGTACTGTAAGAGATGTGTGTTTCTCCTTCCAATATTGTAATATCATTCCTTTAGCTCACAAAAATGCACAGAGAATCCAGCTTCCCTTCTATTTGTTAATTTTCATGCAACAGGTAAATAGTTTTAAAGGGTGTGTACACTGATGAATACTAAAGATTGCTCCAGTACAAAATGTACCTGTGTAATAACCTCCTCCTAAAATGAAGCAACAACCGGACATTGCCAAGCCATAACTTTACAAGAAACATTAACTGTACAGCACCTCCAGCAATTAGCTGAATTAGATAATCCCTTATTAAAGAAACACTGTACTGTGCAATAGGCACAAAACAATTTCTTTTAACAGAATAAGCTGCAGCCTAAGACCTACAGATGTAACAAGCAGATGCCGAAGCTGTGACCGATGGATTAGGCTTTTTGTGGTGGGGCCCACAGCATTTCTCCAAATGCTCAAGTATAGCCATGGGTCCAAAATCACTGAACCTTTTTGAAGAGGGTGTTCAATAAATGGGGTGCCACCAACCCCAAAGGCTCACTTCTTGGTTCTCCTTGTCCAGAAGGGGCTGCAGATGCCAGAACAAGAGTCAGGGCCAGAACTGACAGCATCCACAAGCTGTGATCTTGATCCATAAGGCTGAGGGCACCTCACCATGAAAGGGTCCTCCTCCACCTACCCAAACTACATCCCTGTCTTGCCTGTATTGGACTTAAGTTTATTGGCCCTTAAGTTCACCCAGCCCTTTACTGATCCTAAGTTCCTATTCAAAGCTGCCATCAGCTCATCTGAGTCCCATGGAAAGGAGAAATAGAGCTGCTTGTCCAAGACTTCCAGAAGCAGGAATTCTGCCTTTACCTGATCCCACCTTCTGGCTAAGCCCCACAGGGCTGTGCTCACCCCATTCAGCAGGATCTCCTGTACCTTAGAAGAGGCTGCAGAGAGCCTGAGGAAGTCAACTTCTTTCAGCATTGTTGAGGAGCACTTTTTTCTGAATCCAATCCATTATCAGTCATTGCAACCAACCATATCAGGAAAACTCTTCTTCACAACAGAAAGCTAATATGATATTCAAACACTCACCGTAAATATTTAGCTAATGCAATACTTGGCTCTTCAAGAATATATTCTGATATTAGACCATGTGCATAGCGAATATAGACCTCTGACAAAAAAAAGAAAAAAGAAATAGATACCACATATTATTCGAATGCCTATAATCTTCTCCAAATGAACTCTGTCTCAAGTATGCCAATACTTCTTCCTCTCTCAAACCAGAAGCTTCTCCTCCCATTTTTCAAGAACAACCACAACAGAGTGACCTGGCCAAAGTCCCTCTTTCTGGCAAGGTTTAGAAGCAAAGCGAAGCCAAAACACTAAAGCTTGTATTTCAGCCTGCAGGCCCCTCCTTCCTTTAATACTGACAACGTATTAGTGAAGCAGGTGAGTCAATACAGAGCTGTGAAGGCCAAGAAAAGACTGGAAAATTCAGAAAATTGATTTTCTATTTTTTCTATTCAAGAAAAAAACAGGAAAACAGTTTTTCCAGACACCCCCCCCCCCCACACACACACACACCCCTTTCTGATTTTTTACAACTTCCCTGGTCTTCACATCTCTTAACAAATGTCAGGATTTGAGAGGTTTCCCCCCTTTTTTCTTTTTCTTTTTGGATAGTTTCAAGCCTCCATTTCTGTAAGTTAACAAAACTAAAACTGAAGTGCCACAGTAAGAAGCTACATGAGCTGCTGTTTTGTGGAATACCTGTGTGCAACACACTCTCTTTGGCCTAAAGGGAATCAATATGTATCGAAGAGCAGATGCACCTAAAAGCTCACCTCCAGTGCCATTTTTGGTGGAATGGCAGAACATAAATACAAACCTGCAGTCTGATGGCAGCATTTCGCCAGAAGACACCCACAAGCTAGTCCTGGCGGCGAGGGCAGCTGGGTACAATAAGGTTAAACTACCTTAGAAAGGGATGCAAAAATCACTTGGGTAGTTGTTAGATGACCATGCAAGTGCCTCCTAGAGAAGCCAGAGAACCTGGCAACAAGTTTGGTTATTTCTACCTATTTGGAAAGAGTGGTAGGCCACCATAATACTTCCTGGATCCAAGAGAGCATGAAGCTGGATGGAAAGTTAGGTACCAGCCATAAGTAGTTACCGTCAAATAGACGCACAGCCCACAGCCTATGGACCAGATGTGGTTCCCAGGCATGGGCTGTGCAATCCCCCAATTGGTCCCTGCCACACCAATGGGTATCACTGCCTTGGTGCTGCCAGGGGGTGGTAAAGCACCCACTCATTAATGACAAAAACGCAGCACTGCCCATGGGTGGTAGAGAGGGAGTGTGGGGGGCACACTCCTGTTTTAAGTTAAAGTAGCAATGGTTGCAGCACTGGTGGTGTGAAAGCAATTCACATTCAGTTCTATGCAACACATGATGCCATGTTTGACGTTCACTATTATGGAAGGAAATACCCACAGGTCACATAAAAATATTGCTAGCAAGAGAAGATCAGGTATCAAAACAAATCCAGCACATCAAATAAGCATAAAGCCAATTCTCTAATTGTACTTTGCATGTTCTTTGTGAACTTAATTCAATTCCCGTACCTTCTGTGGCATCAGTGATAGGTTTGCCACTGATAAAGGTAGCTGCCTGGACCCTTCCACCCACACGTTGGTTGCGGTCTTTTAAAACTTTCACCATCTGGTCCACCTGACAAAAGCAAGAAAATAGAGAGGCTTTCTTGCATGACATTTGATGTAGATGCAGGCCAAGTACTATCAACGAAACTACAGACTGAAATTTAATGCACATTTCTAATGGCCAAGGTATATCTCTCTCATACGGAAGTGAGGCATAAGTGCCTGTCTTTGCCTGGCTAAGTCCCTTACAACAGCGGCCATACAAGAACCAGGTCACACTCCTGAGACATTTCAGTTCATTTAAACATGACCGTTAAGGAAACAGCCTTGAAGGATTATGTCCAAGGGTGTGATTTACTGCTACTTTAGCTTTACTTTTAGAAAAAGGTTACTCAAAGTTGCCACATTACCCTAGGCATTTTTCCCACTGAGAAAAGTTTTTGGCCCATCCCATCTGTACTGTTATTCCACTTAAGAGAGCGGTGATGGAGTTGGCACAGCTATGGCAGTAAATGGCATGTGCTGACACTTTCCCAAAAGTTAAGCATAAAGGTCTTTTTCTTTTTTAGACAAGTGCCAACACTTCTTGATCATTTTCTTTTATGAAAACATAAAAATGTGCCAGGACAGTCTGTGAATTAAAGCTTTAGAAACCAAAATGGTGAGATCGGCTGGCCTTCTAATGACCAACCACTGGCATTTTGGTGACCTGGGATTCAATCCTATGCATGTATAGATTTTCAAAAATGCTTGCAATTCCTAGTGTGCTGCAGCACCTCTACTGAATTATCTATCTCTCCTGCAAGACTTCTCATCAGCTCTGTCCCACACCTCACTTCAATCCTTGCACTTAAAAATTTCATTCCTTGCCAAAGTTTTCAGGATTCAGCAAAGCCAATAATGTTGCAACAATAATATTATTAATGATAATAATATCAATAATATCATTTCACAAAGTAGAGGATACCACCTGCAACGCCGTTGATTGCATCGTATTTTCTAAGTGATGACTCTAGTCCAGCATTAGAGCACATGAATGCTTTTTAAAAAGTGATCTTGAAGGACAAGAAGAGCAACAAAATAGCAACTGCAGTCTTTCTCAACACCTCTTCTGAATTCTTGGTGCATTACATTCCCACTGAATTAACTAGCACCAACTGGAGGAGAAAGCTCATGAGAAATCTGCTATTTCCTTTAAAACGGTCATATTTCTGGACTTTAACTATAGATCTTTGATTTTCAGTTCTATGCAACATATAAAACTATGTTTGATATTCCGTGTCATAGAAAGAAATCCTTTAAGAAATACTTACCTTCTTCTTTAGCCACTTCAGAGTTTTCTCCTCACTGTATTTATAAAATTTCCTGCAACCTATTTCTGAGATAAAAGAAGTTGTTTGCATCTTTATGACATTATAGATCCAATCCTGTTACAAGTACCATAAGCTTCCAGCATCAGAACCTACAAGCAGCCTATGCAGGGTAGGAGAAGTGGTGGATGGAAGCACTCTTTGCTTCCTTATCATCTCACCCCACGTTTCCAGTAGCCTGACTTCTTTGCCTGTCTAGCTACAGCATTTTAGAGGAGAAGGGAAGGATACTGGAGAGACTTTAAGCCAGCTCATTTGCTGGCCTTTCTAGTCTCTTTTCTCCCTGCCAACTGAAATGCCTCCTTTTCCCCTCTGCAAAATTGCTTTTGGAAGCTGGGAGAGCAGCCATCTGGTTCTGTCTACAAAGAATTATCTCACTTCACATGCAATTATTCATTGTAGATATTGTGAGCCATGCAGAGTGCCCAGATGTGGACTACTATAGCGACATATCAATCCATTAAATAAATAAATATTCTAATCACTTCTTTACCAGATTGTGAGGGTCTGCTGTGATAAACTTTCAGTGGACTAACAGAATCAGTTGACACAAGCCCGCACGCTTGGATTAAATTGTTAGTTTACCTTTTTCTTCTGCAATGTGGCGAATTGACTGTGAAAGACTTGGGCATTGTAGCAACATTGCACATGAAGGAAATTCTTCATCCATCAAAATTTGGTCCAGTGGCTGAAACTTTCCCTGCTGAAAGAAAAAAAATGAAAATGAACAGATTCAAACAACTGTTAACAGGAATATTGTTTATGCCCAAAGAACTTAATTTAAGGCTCTCCAAAGAAGGATAGCTCACTGGCTGTATCAAATGCTGCTAAGGAATTCTAGAGCAGCGAACCACTAGCATGAATTTCAGATTGATGAAACATTCAATCATAACAGAGTTTTTCAATGAAGTTTTAAATAGAGCTTTTTAAAGAGGTCAGTCTCTTATAAAAGATTTTGAGTTTATTCTAGTGTTAGGGCTGCTTAGAGAACTCACCATGTAGATTGTCATGTGCTTCTGTATATTTCTGTTTCACTGTTGTTATTTTATTGCTATATTGTGCTTTTACTCTGTTTTCATTGTTACAAACTGTTTTGCTTAGAGAATCCTATGGGACTAGTAGTGCAGATTATAAGTCTAATAAAATTAATACAAATTAATGAAATCTAAGTTGGATTAATATGGGATACAACCACTACCAAGTTTTTTTCCTGCAGGATATACACAAACTTTAGAAGTGAATATGCACCAACAGCATTAGCAGACTAAATGGCTGTTAAAACTCACACACAGTCTGGTATTTTCTTTTGTCTGCAAGATATGCAGGCAAAGAGAAATGCTTATAAAAACAGAGGCGACTTTTTCTCTCCAATTATTTCATCCAGTTTGGGCTGCTATTGTTTTTGACAGAACTTAATAGGATTGACCTGCGGAATCTGTTGTTCTTCTGACTAAAACACTAGCATCACTTCATTAGAAGAGCTAATGTGCTGATTAAGAGAATGAACTGGTTAAGTCCTGTGTTCAAATCTGATCTTCAACCATTAGCTGGCCATTAGCTGGCCACTATTCTCTGAGCCCCAATCTCCAACTCCCTAATATGGGGTAATAATTGACCTACCTTAATTTACATATTTACAGTGTTTATACACTGCCCTTCTACAAACCTTCCAGTGTTACTTACCAATAAATAAATAAACTACAAAATACAAGCAATTAATTTGCCTGACACCAACAAACAATACTGGTGCTAGGCTGGGTCCTTTGTGGAGGGAACTCCACAAATGGGGAGCCACCACTCCCCACATTCCTTAGGTTGTCACCTGCCTTACCTTGCATGGTAAACACTATTTTCCTATAAACAGTTAGAGCTTTAAACCAGTTAAACAATTATAGGTTGTAGAACTTTGACAAAGTTACAAATTCCAGTTCAACCACACCATGCGTTGTCCTGGAGAAACAATTATTTCAGCCTTCCTCTTCCGCCATTACAGGAAGAATCCATGGCTTACTTCAGGGCACAGCAGAGCAAGTTTGGGAAAGGGAAACTCAGGGTCCAGAACATTTGAAGAATGCTTCTTTACTGTAAGAGATCAAGTCTCAAGTATAGTCCTGGGGTGTACATGTTCCTTAACATTTCCTAGGTACTTACCTCCTTCTCTGCCTTGAGGAGGAAGAACAGTGCAAAATATAAGGGATCGACTGGTATGGCAAAGAACAGGCGTCCATCTGGAGGGAGAGAATTAAGATGTGCCATCATGAGTGGAACTCCACAACTTATACTTTAGTGGTGTCCAAGAAATTTAGTGACAAACATTACAATGCTACAGTGTCAGGGTTCAGGACCTGCAACCCAGGCTTGTATGTCTTCAGCAAGTAAAAGGGTTTTTATTTAAGAGACCTTGTTGCCTATTCACTGCCTTTTAATGCCCCAAAAACTATTCAAGTGCTGCCCACATAAGAACAAGGCTATACAAGATGAACGAAGCAAGAGTGACCAAATCCATTCATAATTACCAAACACAACTTTACACTACAATAACTACTATTTTACTATTTCCTCTGTGATTCCTTAATCTTTCCTTCTAGTATGAGGAAGACTCTTATGCGAATAACAGCAAGAAGAAAGTGGTGAGAGCAGCACCTTCAACATTTAAAAAGTTACTCGATTCTGACAAGAGAACAACTCGCACTAACACTGCAGACCCCTTTAAAGAATAGTCCTATTTCGGTGTTCTAATCCCCTGGCTCATTCGACTGGTTGTTTTAAAAACAGTTGCAAAAATCAGTCTATAGGTGATTTGATGCACATGATATGTCACTCCAAATCACAATAAATGACCAGACATTACATTTCCCCATTCACTCACTCACTCACTCACGCACTCACTTGTATTTATAGGCCAATTGCCAAGGCCTTCCTAGGCAGCTATTGATATTGATTGAGGCGGCAGATATTGATTGATTTATAGATATCAAAATTATGGACCAAACATGGAGTTTTATGCCAAAAAAATTACACCAAAAATCTACAAGAATCGTGTGGTAGCAGGAGCAGGCATACTAGCTCTGCCCTGTTGCCATCCTGGTGTGCCCTCCATGAGCTGAAAAGTGAACATCAGCAGCGGGGAGAGACTGCCCTGATTGTTTTGGCTCTGTGCATGATGGAAAACCCAGGCAGCTTCTGCAAGCAGAACCGGCTCAGAATTACAGATGTTCACTCTCTAACATGTAGAGGGTGATGGAGGCAACACAGTGAGTGTGCTCGTTCCCGCAATCCTAATCATGAGAAGCAGAGTGGGGATTAGAACTGCACCTCCATCAGCTTTTGGGAGACCTCCACTCAGCATCTTTCTCATCCTATTCAGATTAAAGTGAAACTGAGTAAAGGGTAAGTTCAGAGAGCTGGGCTGCTCCCAGCCATGTCAAAAATGTGATGGATCTAGACCAAATGAGTGGAGTTTAGATTCCACTGAAATTAGCCTGAAAAGTTAATAGTGACTAAGTTTAGCCCCACTGACTTCAAGCACAACTAAATTAGTGTGGATCCATCATAAAGGTTATGCCACAAAGTGAGGCTGACAAACACATTTCATGGGAGCAGAAGTGTATTTGAAAGCGTACAAGAAAAGGCTCTGCTGTACAGGGTTTGATCCACCCATGTGGATCCTTAGCCAGCTGGATCTTTCAGAAAAGAAACCAAGTCATACTTTTCACCATTTATCCATAATTTTAAAAATCTTGTTCACCAAAATCTCACATGCAGGCTTCAGAATGACATGGCTACTAGTTGTGTTTAGTGTTAAATACATTGGCAAATGATTTCAACACACTGAGAGCAGTGACATTAAGCAGAAAATTTTCTGCTTTATTTTTCTGCAGAAAATGTTCCACTTTGTAAGTTAGGAACAATGAACTGCAAATACAGTATCGGGCAAAGCCTGGCAGCTTCAAAATTGCAATTAGTGTTTTTCAGGTGATTATCCTGAGCAAGTATGTGACAGCACACAGAAATGTCACTGGAATACATATATGGGTTGGTGTGAATTGGCACTAGTAAGCAGTGATGGAGATCCTAAAGGACCCCAACAAGTTCAGTGGAAGAGGAGTGTATTGAAACAGATGAGTGGCTGTCAGTTATTCATGCACAGTTCCCTGGCAAAATGTTTAAGTGATGTTGTTCACATGCAACAACAGCCAGCTGATTAACTATGAGCTGTCTGGAATAAGTGGGAAAAAGTGGGCACACTGCCTGCAGTTGATCCACCATTTCAACTTTTATTCCATAACCCATGTAGGCTGTAGATCATGACGCTTGAACATGTACTGCTGGCTTGTTTAAGGGCTAGACAATCCAGTGGTTAATCTAAGAAGAAACCATGAGTGAAAAACATAAGACAACTTCCCCAGTGGCATCCACTATAGCTGAGTCATATGAAAAACATACTCAGAGATCAATTCGATATGGAACCGGAGGAAGGAGGGAAGGTCGTACTCACCACTCTGAACAGTTTGACCTATGAACCATGACCGGTATTCTTCACAAAAAGCTTTTACTTCGAACAGCTGATGAGCATCACTACTGAACAAGTAAAGGGCTGCTTGTCCTGTTACAAACAAGAAAAACCACTAATGGCACACATTGGGTTTTGCATTTTAAAAGCTTCCGCTGGTCCCCCCAGTGGACAAGACCAAGCAATCAATGGATAGGACCATTCTGAATATATGCAAAAGGGTGATTGCACAAGCAGCATAAAATGGCCACCAATACGTGTAACTCCCAGCTTGGGATGCTGGATGTTCTGGAGAAAAAGGTACCTCTTGTGCTTCCAGTTGCACTTATGGCTATGGCTAAGCAGGCTAAGCAAGTAAGAATTTCAAAACAGCAACCGACTTTTGCTTCCAGCTACGCTTGAAAAATCTGCACCCCTCCACCCCAGCAAATACAGAGGCCGAATACACACCTCTGGACTATGACAACAATTTTAAATTTACATACATAAAGTTTTACTTAAATGTGATTAAGAATAAACTGTGCCTTGTTTCTCTGAAGATGACAAAGGTAATCCTGTCCAGGGGCATCTTTGTTTTTGTTTCAATTTAGATCTTTTTGCTCTCTGAAATTACTATATAAAAGTCCAATCAATTGTGGAACAGAAGAAAAGCCTGCAGGTTGACTCAGCTGTCCAGCAAAATGTTACTGTTAAAAAGCAGGAGAAAGGAAACTCCCCAACAAGCATTTTAAGCACTAGAGTTTTCAAGATTTGCCCTCTAAAGAAACATGGCATTTGAGAATGTTGCACTTGCCTGTACTTGGATTCCGCAGCCTTGTAAACAAAGGCCCAGAGCCTGCCTTTTTCAGGAGATCAATAGCAGATACTGAAAAAGTTAAGTGGTCATGTGAGAGCCAGTCTACCTGCCGTAAAAACATCCTCACTCAAAAACTACCCCTTCTAGCTTTAAAGAGCTGCTGGTTAAGTCAGCCTTCCCCAAGCTGGTACCCACCAGACATTTTGGAGTACAACTCCCAGCATCCCTGGCTTATGCCTTGCCTCTTGGATGCAATCTTCTGTTAAATAAGTCTCAATGGGGAAAGAGACATTGCGATTGGGTTTCACTGGACTATCACCATCATTCACAGACACAGAGGGAGGAGAGTGGAGTGGCCACAATATTTCATGCTCAGTGCCCTGATTTCTTCCTTTTTAAATATTTTTATTGTGAATTGACAAAACAAAATCATAACAAGAAAAATATCATTTTTTCACATAAATCTGAATAAAATATCTACCATAAATGCACATGGAGCATATGAAAATCCACCTATTAACCAAAACAGTTATGTGCAAGGTAAATATCTACAGACTAAATATCTACAGATTTATCCATTTATAAGTGGTGCTTAAATTCAAATGTTGAAAGAGTTGATAGGTCCTCAGCCCTTTGTGTTATAGGAGGATAATGCTGTAACATCAGTCTTAGCTGTGATAAGGCTGTGGAAATCCATTCACATTTACTTTGTGTTAACTTCCAAGTTACAGGTTAAATAGTTGAAGACAAAATACACATCAATAAATATTAGAGAATATTCCAGTACAAAGTTGCTCTGTATTAAGACCTCCTCTCAAAAAGGAGCAACTGTTGGGCACTGCCAAAACATATAAGCAAAACATTAGTGCTCTTACACCTCCAGCAATTGGTTGACTTAGGCAAACTCTTATTAAAGAGATGTCTTGGGCCCAATTTCACCTTCTTGCCCCAAAAGTCCTGGAGAGAGCCATCCAGCCTTCCCTGGTTCCCTCCATAAATTTCAGGTCCAGGTTGCCTTCATGGGATGGCCACCTGCCCCTCTTTTGCCATGCTTCTAGCTTTATCTTGAAATCACTGTGAACCAAACATTGCCTCTGCTATTATTTGCATTATTTATATCCCACCCTTTTTCTTCATGAAAGGAACCCAAGGCAGCTTCCAAGGGTCTCACTCATCTCCATTTTATATTCACAAAAACAACTCCGATCTCCCAAACCCCAGCCCAGCAATCTAACCACCACGTGACACTAGCTCTCCCTCCTTGGCTCACTCCATGTTTTCTGAGGCCAGAAGACAATGTTTGGGTAAAAGCAGAGGTAAATGCAGTGGTCGAGACCTCTCCCCACGCGGGTGCCCATGGCAAATATGCATGGACAGGTGGCAAGGAGATGGAGAGGTGGCAGTAGGAGAGCACAACTGAGAGGGCCAGAGCCTGGAAAGTCATCCCCTATCATAGTCCTAACCTGCCCATCCATTCATTCATTCATTCATTCATATTATTGAATTTATATTACCCTTAATCAATAGTCCAACAGGATTCACTAAACAGAGAGAGAAAAGCAGAGTGACCAGTAAGAGTAACATGACAGAATCGACTGCTCCACTTCATATAACAAATAGGGGATACTTTTTGAATGTCCCTCACATAAAAAGCACTCATAAATGCCATGGACCTAGAAAATAGCCCCAAAGGAACATGCTAGGCCAGAGGTAGGAGACTGTTTAGGCCTGTGGGCACACAAGAGATGTCTCACATTTCTTGCCCCCTCCTCTATGGAGTCTTCCTTTCCTTGGCCCTAATGTGCTACATTTTTACAAGCAGGCATTTGCATCCTCCAGCTGCAGCCTGAGCTGCTACTTTCCATTCTCAAACAGAGACTAAATGGGAACTGCAGAAGACTAAGAGAGGAGGACAACAGAAAAAGATTAGAAGCAAGAGGGGGAAATGTACCTCATTGCCACTCTGTGACCTCTTCCACTCACTGTATGTTAATTCATTCTGCAGTTTATTGGCCTCATAATAACAAAATGTTACATGTGCAGCTTGCAGCATGCATGAGAAAGGCAGGATCTTGTCCTAACCCATAAAGTATTTGACATAACTGTGAGAGATCTTCTTTTCAAAGCAGAGAACTGCTTAAGAAACTTCCACTTTGCTTCAAAAGCAACTTGGTGCACAGCATGGAAGGAGGCTCTTGGAGGGATGCAAGAACTATGCAGTGCAGTTCTTTAGATCCAGGTCAATGCCAGTTACAAACCGAAGGGCATGAAAACACTGTTAGCTGAACATGCCACAAGGACTTTACCGATAAGATGAATAAGAACAAAGGCACACAAAAGCATTCAAGGAAACACACAAACTGAAACAAACTGAAAGCATTTTCAGTTCCTGCAATACTTTCTGTAAGATTAACTACCCATCTGACTGAATGATCGATTCTAGGGAAAACTTTACAGTAAAACAATCAAGGCCAGTTCTGATCATGCACTTGTGTAATTCCGTCTCATTTCTTGCAAAGCAAGAGTGTTCTTCCAGAGGAAGAGTTACTGCAGCAGACCTCACCAGCTGTGACAACAGACATGTCTTCAAATGGAAGTCTGACGCACCGGCCTCGCTGCCTCTGGAGGCAAACAGTGGCAGCTTTGCACTCGATTCACTTCATTTGCACCTTGCAGTCAACCTGCTGGGATATTCCGGAGAAGCATGCTTTCAATGCTTCTTGCATTTGCTGCACTGTGTTACCTTTCAAGTGCTGGGTTGTCCCATGTGCTTTTAATGTTCAGACTGTGAACCAGCGGGACTTTCCTTCGAAAAGAAACGTGGGCTAGCATACAACCTTTGAGAATAAGAGTGCTATACGATGCATGCTTAAACCGAAAAAAACTACAAGTCCCAGGATTCCCTAGCCGCGAAGGAAAGGAGGTCAATCAGTAAAGAAGAAAGTATAAAGTTCAGTCCCTGCAGTTCAATTTCTCGCCCGGGGCAAGCGGCCTTTTGCCGGCGAGAAGGGAAAATCTAAGAGGATAGTTACCTGGAGCAACGATCACCCACTGGCTGCTGCCGCTCTTCTCCGCGGAAGCTGTTGGCCGGAGCCGCTGCTGCTTCCCACCCGACATATTGTCTCGCACACAACCCTGCTAGCTAAAGCCACCGCCTCATTTTCTTGCAAACCGTAGAAGTATTAAAAGTTAGACAGGCCTAACGTCGCGCAGTCTTTGCGATACGCGTATGCGTGCAAATCAGCGAAGCGCACCGAAACGAGAACTGGACATGCGTCTGAAGTGCGACAATTTAACTAGATCGATCTTGGCTGCGACCTGTGCGTGCGTGGCGTGGATCTTAACCCCGGGGCAGAGAAAGGCTGGTGAATATGAGAAGCTGTAGAGCCTTTTTTTCATGTCCAGAATTGCTCCCTAAAGCATGCATGTAGCATAACTGAGGCGCAAACTACATTTAGGAAGAAACGCTATGCGTGTTTAGACAGGAACAAATCCCACCTAGTATGACTGTCTGGAGCATTCAAGGAATTGTAGGAGTTTTTCTGTCTAGGCATAAGATCGCTTCTTTCACTGTTTAGGGATTTCAATATATTTTGCAGTAAAATATAATTTTTTTGAAAATTTAAGAAAGTGTACTACGGGACTGCAAAGTTGAAGAGAGTTAAGGCAGGCTTGAACAAGCATGGAGCACCAGCAGGAAAGGATTCTTGGTTTCACACTTTCCTGCGGGCTTCCCAAAGGCATGCGGCTGGTCTCTGAACGGAACAAGGAAACTGTGCTGTGCCCGTCAAATCGCCAGTAAAATCTCGGATTTTCTCCGTTGTTCGCTATGGGCAGCTGTCGCTTCTGCAACAGGAGGAGAGGCAGGCAAGGGGAATCAAAAGGAACCACGAAGCTGCCTCTTCCGAGCTATAGTTAATCTGATAATAAGTCTGTGTTGCTAACGTCGCCGGAAAACCAATATTTCCCGCGCAGTGGGTGAGAAGGGGGATACACAGGGCGAGCGAGCGCAGACAGGCAGCAACTTTCCGCGGTAACAAGACGTTGCCAAGAAATGCTCCTTAGCAGCATCCAGTGGAAACCGCTCTGTCTCCAGGCGGCTGTGAATAAGGAAGCGCGGGGCTTCACGTTCCAATTTACCCTTGGACCACAACACACTGCTTTTTGTACAAGGCAATTTAGACTTAACAAAATGGTCCTCACCAGCTAGTGTCTTCCTTTGCCGTTCTCCATGTGCTCGGAAACACTCACATGCCCTGGCCATAACCTGATAAAGCAGCATTGAGAAACTTGCAGCCCTCCAGATGTTATTGGGCTGTGATTCCCATCATTCCTTACCACTGGCTAGGGTTGATTGGGGTAGTAGTTGTTGGGAAAATTTGGATAAATCCTGTCTGAAAAGCATTACTCCTGTGTGCCTTTGCATTGTGGGATCAAATTCTGTCTTCCTTCTCAAAACCAAGCTGTCACTGTTTAAAATGGCCCCCCCCCCCCCCCGCTCCTGCTCCTTTCTCTCACCTTTAGCTGTAGGCTACAGTAGGCCATTTTAGCCCAAATATACATTATAAATAGTCATTGTTGGAATTCAGTTTACAATAATCTATTGATTGCCCAGAGGGCTTCATGTGCCCTGATCATGCAGAATGTTTAGAGTCGAGATAAGGGTCTGAGCTTATCATGAATAGTTTCTAGTAGCTTGAATTTGCATGTCTGAGCAGACCTGGAGATGGGTTCAAGTGTCAATACAGGCAATTAGAAATATTTTAATCTCATTGTTACAGTGTGATTGACTGATATTTCTTTATCTGTTCTGTATGTGATGACCTCAGAATCTTATTGTAATCTCTGCATTCTGTCATCAATTGTCCTCTACCTGTGTACCTATAAATGCCCTGTATAAATTGAAGCTTTGCAGCAGAGTTCATCTCTGCCTGCCTGCTAATGTAGCATGCATTATCGTGAGTGTACTGTGGGAACTTTGGGGTAAATACAATAAAGCCTCAGATGGTCTGGACGCTTGGTCTTTCCCACGAACCCGAGTTTTATTCCCTCTTCTCAAATTGAGATTCCGGGATTCTGACATAGTGCAGCAACATCTGGAATGCCACAACATCCCTTTTTCTAATTTAAAGGCAAGACTTGCTGTCAACTGGAATTGCCTGACTTTTTCCTTTCTGCAATTAGCATAGATGTATTTCTTACTACCATCAGCCTTAGCCAGCACAGGCAATGATGAAGAATGATGGAACTGCAGACATCTGGAAAGAGAACACACTTTTTCCATCCTTATTTTTATGGGATGCTGCCATGACCCCAGGATGATAAATTGCCCATCAGTACCAGTGCAAACAACTTTGAGGGCTTCCCATTGCATATGACTTAAAAATAGGCCTCAATAAATTCAGTCTCAATGATAAGAGTTTTGCAAATGGTGTAGTGGAAGCCTTTATCCTTACCCCACAAAATGGTTGGTCATTCTCTATTCATGCAAGGCTTGCCAGACAATATAACATATCAGCCAAACAGTATCTCCACCTTTCTCTCTCCTTTTGTTCAATGTGAATACATAGTCAAGCATAGATACACAATTTGCATGTGTGATTTATCCTTGTCATATAAGCTGCTTACAGTGGGAAGGCATGGACCTCATAATTTGCTGCCGCTCAGGGATGTCTGGGGAGAGACATGCTGTTTTTCAGTCACAGCCATGCAAAAATCCTGCATTGCTTTCTATGAACTAAAGAATTAATTAAAAGAATTAAAAGTATGGTTCCAGCTACCTTAGAAGTGACTAGTACTTGCATGTAGCACTAGTACTGTGACCAGTACTTGCATCCATGCATGTTTCTGTTGCTTCCATCTTCAATATGGAAGCATCAGAACAGTATCATTTCAGGTTCCCTGCTAGCAGGGGAAATCTAGTAATTGCAATCCTTTTGTTTTCTGCTGTAATCTTGTGGCAAATCACGAATGGGTTGGAAGAATCCTTGCCTCAATTCATATATTCAAGCCACAGCCCTGCCAGGAAGCATTGAATCCTTGAATTTATGTTGCGATTTGGTAATGGCTTTGGCTTCTAGGTATCATGTGACTACAGGAGGAGCTGTGTAGGATTTAATCCAACTTCAGATCCCGCCATCAGGATGGCATTCAGTGCTAAATGACAGAGGTGGCCCTGATACCTTACCTTTTCTGTCAGTCCTCATAGGAGTATGTTTGGAAAGCTTTGGAGCATAATATAACATTAATGGAAACTGTTGAACATTGCACACTTTGAAAACCGTTTGGGTTACTCATAGTGTCATCTGTTATGTACTGAGAAATACATTCCACTGAATTCAATGTGTCTTACTCCTAAGTAAATACGTTGATTGCAGTCTCCTTTGTGAAAGGATTATTCCCTGTAACTCATTTTTTCAAACAAAACCACTTTTTAATTCCATGCTCTGAATACAGCGTTATCTTCTTCCTAACTTCAGTATGTTTTCCGCTCAACCGAAGGATGAGATATAACTACTTCAAATAAATAGAAATGTATTGTCTTCTTTGAACGAGTCAATCAGCCAAGATTTGGGTTCAAGAGGATAAAGAGGTCAAGTTCCTTCAGTGAGCATTACAACTCCTTTGCGGAGGAAGCGATGACAACAGTCATAAGTACTTCAGAACAGGAAAGTGAAAGCAATCTTTACCCTGCTGCGATGCGTGGCCAAAGTTACAGCAGCCCTGACACCCCGCTACCACTCTTACTACTTAGAATAAAGCTCCACTCTTGCCCCGCACAAGGCGGAGTCTAATCGGAGCCAGAAGTGGGGGGTTCCACTCGTCGCTTCCTCCTATAGGCGGGCAGCGGATTCAGGCTATCAAAGCGGAAGTTTGTTTTCCTTCTTTCCGGGGCACGCACGGAAGGGCCGACGTGCTGCTTTCGGTGGTCGCGGACTTGACGGAGGTTTCGTTCTCAAATCAGGCCCCTCACCTAGGCCGTCGTCATGGCGATGCAAGCAGCGAAACGCGCTAACGTGAGTGCGGCTCCTTCTCCCTCGGTCGGGGGCGGCCATTTTGCCCATCCCCCCCCCCGTCCTCGGCCGTCGGGACATGCACTGCTTCTCTCGTAGGGTCGCGTGAAATTGACCTACCGGCATACTTCACCCCGCCGCCCCTCCAGGCGGCGTTGGACTGAAACTCCCATCAGCCCTGATCCTTGGCCCTGCCGGCTGTCGATGACAGGTGTTGTAGTCCAGAATACCTAGGGGCCGCCTCGTTACCCATCCCAACATCGGGAGTGCTTCCCCCATCTGCTGCTGCTGCTCAGCCATCCCACGGTGGCAATGGGCTGCCCATCCCGATCAGGGGCATCACGGATGGGGAAAGCCGTCCCAAGTACGCGGTGTGTGAATGGACGACCCGCTCTTTAGCTTTCATCGAGGATGGAGTCTCATGACGGAGGGCAATAATCCGTGGTAATGGATCCACCATATGCACATCTAGTATGCACTTGCATTAGGTTTGGGTCACCAAAGATATTTGTGAGAGATGACCATCCTTGGCCAAATGGCAGTGATGTGAGAGACCTGTTGATGTGGTCTCTTCTTCCCATTAGCTCAAGAGGGCAAGTCCCACAGTGCTATTGACTTTTAAGGAGACTCAGGACTCCTTGAGTATGGTGGCACAGTAGCCATATGGAGTAATGGTGGCACAGTAGCCATCTGGAAGCATGTATCTACCCCAGACATGTATAAAGAGCCACTGTAAGAGTGGTAGTGGTTAAGAGTGTGGGACTGGGACTCAGGTGATCTGGGTTCTAGTTCCTGCTCAGTCATGGAACCATACTGGGTGCCTGTGGGCCAGTCACAGACTTGCAGCCCAACCTACCTCACAGGGTTGTTGTTGTGGGGATAAGATTGAGAGGAGAAGGAGAATGATGTGAGCCACTATGAATTCTTTGTAAGAAAAAAGTGGGATATAAATCTAATAAGTAAAGCAGAGAGTGCTTTAAATTGTCAGATGCATGAATCTTCCCCCCTACCTGCCTTTTTCCACAAAAGCCGTAGTTACTTTTCTCCCAGAAAGAGTCATATTAATTGGAACTCAGCAGGGATAAAAGAGTTTTGAAGAATGAACTTTAGAAGACAGTTTGGCAATGTTTCCCCCACCCTGTGTGTATCTTTGATTTTTTTAAATTGCATCTTCTGCTCTGCATATTTAAAAGCTCAGGTCTGTTGTGGTAGTTTCAACTCTCAGCCAGATCATTTGTAAATTAGCGTGCTGAAGGACATTTTGCTCTGTATAAAATGTCTAGAATTTTATATTGCTAAACATGCAGTTCCATGGTAGTTTAGGCAGAAAATATGGCCGGGGCATGCAGAAAGTTGTAGGTCTTTTTTCTTGTCTAAGTTTGATTAAGATTGTGCTTCAGATCAGACAGATTCAATATCTATTCTTTCCTCAAAACTCCTACATTAAGAACTTTAAGAAAAATTCTGGGGAACAGTCAATTTTAGGAACAATAATAACAGTATAAGTAACTTAGAAATATTTACATCTGGATTATTGATTTATAGGAATCTTTGCTCCTGTTGCTAAGCTGTATGCTTTCTTGAATTTAGATCCGTCTGCCACCTGAAGTCAACCGTATTTTGTATATCAGAAATTTGCCATATAAAATTACAGCTGAAGAAATGTATGATATTTTTGGAAAATATGGACCAATTCGACAAATCAGAGTGTAAGTCTGTGTTAGAAAACTATTAATTTATTTAAAACTGTTCTGTACAACAAAACTTTTTCTCTACAACAAATTAATGCAGTACAGTAAAAATAGAAATAACGGTTGCACAGCAGCCAATGTTAAAATAAAGCCACTAAATAAAACAGATTAACAATTAAAATACAGTGGTACCTTGGCTCATGAACGTAATCCATTCCAGGACTCTGGTCATGACCCAAATTGGTTGTGAGCCAAGTTAAATTTCCCCGTAAGGTTCAATGTAAATAAGGTTAATCTGTTCTGTAAGTATTTCTTTTTAATCAGGAAAATGTGAAGCAAAGCGTCAAAGAACAACAGAGATCCCCTTTCCCCCCTCCCTGTGCACAAGCATGGCATGCTGTGGGGGGGGGGGGATGGGCGCAACCCAAGGGGACCGGGGGGGGGAGGGGCGCAATTGTGGGGGGGGCACTGGGGGGGGGAGAAGGATGCGATCATGCTGGGGGGAGTGGAGCTGGCCAAGATCGCGGTTGCGCTCATGCAGGAATGATGGGTGCAATCATGGGCTCGCTCATGCAGGAAAGATGAGCGCAGTTTTGGCCATCTCCCCCCTGCCTCCAGCACGGTCATGGCCATCTCCCCACTTGAGGGGATGGGGAGATGGCTGCAATCGCAGTCTCCACCCAATGCGGAGTTTGCAACCTGAGTCAAAATTTTTATGAAATTTTTCTTTGTGACCCAATTTGGTCATGAACTGAGGCATTCATGAGTCGAGGTACCACTGTACTGGGAGAATAAAAGGTTTTTGCCTGACACCGAAAGAAAAGAAGAATTGGCACCAGGCGAACCTCTCTGGGGAAGCTTTGATTTAGCATTACTGTGGTTATGAAAACTGGTCCATTGCTGCTACTGTTTTTCCTGTAAAATAATTTAAGTTTTGCTTGAAAACCATGAAGTTGGATTTGAATATTATGCAGGGGACATGTAGATGAGAAGGGGCCTATATATTTGCAAGCAATGCAAACACATACGGTGCAAGTGTCAGAATATACATGTTAATACTTCATGGAGAGGTTTTAGGTTTTTTATTAAATCAAAAGTACCATAAGATGGTACTTCATTGTGAAGATATTAACAGCCTAAAATTATTCTGATAGTCTTTATTGGGAGAGTTTGCATGGTTTGTAAGGTTTGGGAGAGATTTGCATGAACTATGATGGTAAATTCAAAAGGCAGACTAAGGGCACTTAAAATAGCATTAAAAGCAGTGCTGTAGTATCAATCTGTTAAACTGTCATGAACTATGTGGAAGAATAAGCCTAATTAATTATGTCTCCCTGTGCTGTTGCAAAGGGGGTGGGGGTAGGAATAATTAGAATTGTCTGGAGTGCACTGAGTTTGGAAGGCCAAGTCCTACCCTGGCATTCCAGTTAGCAATCCATTCAGCACAAGAAACATCTTTCTGAGTTAGAACCAGTTAGATCTGATGCACCAATGTATATTTCTTTTATTTAATTCTTCTGCTGTCCTATCTGATGTATGCTTGCTCTGAAATACTTACTGACTTTACTGCATTTTTTCACAAGTAGGAATGCATAGTCTCACTATGTGTGGGAAAAACAGCACCACACTGATGAAGAGAATTAGTGACAATTTCCTTCTGTAGGATCTGAATAAGAAATCATTCTTATCCTTTGTTTAATATTAAAATTGTTCTTTTCCTACAGAGGAAACACCCCTGAGACTAGAGGAACAGCCTATGTTGTCTATGAAGATATCTTTGATGCCAAAAATGCTTGTGACCATCTGTCAGGGTTCAATGTGTGCAACAGATACCTTGTTGTTCTGTACTACAATGCAAACAGGGCAAGTAAATGAGCTTTTTTCAAAACATTTTGACTCTTGTTAGAACAGAAGATGGACTTTTTACATCTCTTAACTGACAATCCGCTCATCAAGAAATGTTGGAATAATTTAAGGAAAGTGAATATGGAACTAGTTGCTTCTTTATATGGGCTAAACATGACTGGAGAAAGCATTAATTCTGACAGTTCTGTTTAAAGCTTGTCTAATTTGATTAGAAGCAGTCAAAACAAATTAAGTCAAACTGAGCCTGAGCTGAGAATTGGGCTGACTTTTTAAAAATACTATTGTTATTGGGGGGTTTTTTTTTTTTTTTTTGACAAATTGAATATAGGAAAATGGAAGGTGGGATTTTGAACAAGTATCATGAATACATTCAAGCCCACAAATTTAAAAAGATCAAAAGTATCTGTCTTTCTATCATTCAATGCTCTATGAAAGTTTAGAAAAAAGAAAGTTGTTATTCTGTCCACTGACAAATTTTCCAGTCACTTCAAATCAATTATAAATTGTTAACTATTTTTTAAAGAGCTTCCTTTTACATCCTATTAATTCTACTGGGTATAATAGAATTTCTATTTGTCATTAAATTTTTCAGGTCTTCTATATACACAATTAGTTAATTTTGCCATCAATGTGTACTCTGCCAACTTGTTTTTCCAATCTTCAATTGTTGGGGATTCTGGTGTTTTCCATTTAGAGGCAATTGTAATTCTACTTTTTAATTTTTGTGAATTGCACAAAATTATAACTATTGGCTACAAGAGAAACTTCCAAACCAAGCAGGAACTGAAGTTGCATATTGGGAGTTAAGGGTATGAATAAAATAGGATGGCACAGGGCCAACCCTGATCAAAAGGAATCATGAATATTGGCCTGTAAGGGGCCTCTGTGTACTTACCACACCCCACTCCTTTTGGTTGAAACCTTCAGAGAGTCAGGTGCAGTGGACTTCTGCCACCATCTCACCCAATGGTCTCCTACAGGTTTTGCATCAGTATTGTTAATGGGAGCATTAATAGGTGCCATTCAGACAGTAGCCCTTTCAGATAGGTCCACAGAAGTTAAACATTCAAAGGGAAATATTACTGGCCATACATATATAGGTTAGGCTTTTAAGGCATATTTGATGGCCTGAAACAAAAACAACCCAGATGTTCCATCTCCTAATTTACAAAGTCCAATTGCCTGGAATTGATTTTGACCTCAGATCATGAAGAGAGATGGGTTTTATAAGCTTGCTAAAATAGATGTTTGCAGGTACGGGGCAGCAAACTCTCCACTACCTTGCTTTCTATGGGAATCCTAGAGAAGTTTAGGATTTATAAAGAATCCTATTCTGTATTCTGGTTGTCAATTGAAGTCCAGGACTAATTTAAAATGCTTGCTTTAACAAAGTCCTAAAAAACTTGGGACCTGGTAACTTGAAGGACCACATTTTTCCGTATACTGCTACCCACCCATTCAGGAATTAAGTCCTTCTGAAAGAGCCATCCCTAACGGAAGTAAAAAGGATGGCAATTAGAAGAAGGGCCTTCTCAGTGGCTGCCCCCCCCCCTTCCTAAAGAGATCTGCCTGGTGCTGTCACTACTTTGATCTCAGCACCAGGTGAACACTGTCCTCTTTCAAAAATTTTTCGAAACCTGCCTTGAACACCTGATTGTAAAAGTTCACTCTGATACCAACAGGCTTCCCCTGTTCCCACTCGCTTCCCCTTGTACTTATAAATTGTACTGTTGGCCTGTTTTTAATGTTGTTAGCTGCTTAGAAATATTTTAGAGGACTATTAGGCAGCCTATAAATTTGGAAATAAAATCAGTCCTGGCCTAACAGCAGGCTAATTGTTCAGGGTGAAGTTGTTATCTGGTTTTTCTGAACACCTGGCAGCTTTTGTGAAATTAAAGGCATGTTTCTATTTTGAAACATAGCTTCTTGATTTCTTGGTAATTTTATGATATATTTGAGAAGACTGTCAGTTAAATCAGTACTTAAAGTGAGCTTACCTTAAGGAATTGATAGAAGAAAATAGTATTATTTTAAAAAAATTCTATTAATGTTTGTTTGTATTACAGGCATTCCAGAAGATGGATACAAAGAAGAAAGAAGAGCAACTCAAACTGCTGAAGGAAAAATATGGGATAAACACAGACCCACCAAAATAAGACTCTTAACCTTCATGAGCAACTGGCTCTTTTGGACATTTTAAAAAATTCCACCATGTCTCTAGACTAAGCTCTGCCTACCCCCCCAAATAGCTATGTCCAGTTGAATTTTTAGTTCTTACATTTGACGTGTAAGCCATTTGAGGAAATCCTGTTTTGGAAGTAACAGCCACTGGTTATAATTACAAATATTGGTACATTAAAATGACAAGTAGCCTCTTGGCATATTGTTGTTGATAATTTTCCACATTTCTGAGGTTTGTACAAAACTTTATGCATCATTTGTATAACCTTTTGACCACTATGGTCAGAAGAATGTGTAAAATTTTATGGAGCTAAATGCCGAATTGAATCTGTTAAAAATGCTTTTCAACATGTTGTATTTTTGGTTTCCGTTTTCTGAAATGTATCTGCATGATTCATCTTCCCAAGCAGTTTGCTGTAATAAAGAATAATCTGATGTGCCCTGAGAGTATCATCAGCAGGCTAATTTCAAGGTGCCTCCTCCCAGCTGCTTGGAGCTGTTTCCCTTTCTATCATTCCATTGCTGAGAAGAGCTGGATGCATTTGCTTTTGCTGCAGAGGTCTAGCCATCTGCCCTGCTCTCCTGCTGTAACATTAAGACCAGCATGCTGAGGCAGGCAAAATGGCAAATTCATTGCTTTAATTAAGCTCTTCAGAAGGCAAAAAGACTTATGAGATTGTTGAAAAGTAACAGTTTACATGCATCATCAGTTTACCCTAGCAGTTCATTCTGGGGTAGAATCCATTGTAAGGCTACTTGAGAATAAGCCTTTGAAACAAATGAACGAAGGTACAATCCTATGCTTACTCAGACAGGAAAAAAAGCCTACAACTTTGGCTGGGGCATACTGGGAGTAGTAGGACTTTTTCTGTCTAAACATGCACAGGATTGCACCGTAAATTGGCTGATTATTGCTAACTTGAGTCCCATTCCTTCAGTGGGCCAGCATTATGTAGGACTTAAATTGGCAATGAACCAATGTTTTCCGATGTTTTTATGCAACTCAGTCTACAAAAAGCCAACTATAACTTTAACATCTATCAGGTATTAAATCCAGTAGGTGTTAAATATGTAGTTAACTCATCTGCATGCTGTGGTGTTATTCTTAAACAAGAACCTATTTTGTTTAGTTATTTAAATGATCTTTGTTGTTGTTAGTCGCGAAGTCCTGTCCGACCCATCACGACCCCATGGACAACATTCTTCGAGGCCTTCCTGTCTTCCACCATCCCCCGGAGTCCACTTAAGCTCACACCAACTGCTTCAGTGACTCCATCTAGCCACCTCAGTCTCTGCCATCCCCTTCTTCTTTTGCCCAACATTAGGCTCTTCTCCAAGGAGTCCTTCCTTCTCATTAGGTGGCCAAAGTATTTGAGTTTCATCTTCACTATCTGCCCTTCTAAAGAGCAGTCAGGGTTGATCTCCTCTAGGACTGACCGGTTTGATCGCCTTGTGGTCCAAGGGACTCACAGGAATCTCCTCCAGCACCACAATTCAAAGGCCTCAATCCTTTGCCACTCAACCTTCCTTATGATCCAGCTTTCACAGCCATACATTGCAACTGGGAAAACCATAGCCTTGATTATACGCACTTTTGTTGGCAGGGTGATGTCTCTCCTTTTTAGTATGCTGTCTAGATTTGCCATAGCTTTCCTCTCAAGGAGCAAGAGTCTTTTAATTTCTTGGCTGCAGTCCCCGTCTGCGGTGATCTTGGAGCCCAGGAAAATAAAATCTGTCACTACCTCCATTTGTTCCCCCTCTATTTGCCAGGAAGTGAGAGGACCGGATGCCATGATCTTAGTTTTCTTAATGTTGAGTTTCAAGCCAACTTTTGCACTCTCCTCCTTCACCCACATCAAGACTCTCTTTAGTTCCTCTTCACTTTCTGCCACAAGAGTGGTATCATCTGCATATCTGAAGTTGTTGATATTTCTCCCAGCAATCTTAATTCCAACTGGTGATTCATCCAGCCCCGCCTTTCTCATGATGTGCTCTGCATATAAGTTAAATAGGCAGGGTCTATGTGTAGAGTCGTCTCTTGGGTTCTTGGAAAAGAGTTTGCTATGACCATCGTATTCTCTTGACAAAATTCTACCAACCTGTGCCCTGCTTCATTTTGTACTCCAAGGCCAAACTTGCCTGTTATTCCGGTTATCCTTTGGCTTCCTACTTTAGCATTCCAATCCCCCATGATGAGAAGGACATCATTTTTTGGAGTTAATTCAAAGGTGCTGTAGGCCTTCATAGAACTGGTCAACTTCAGCATCTTCAGCACCAGTGGTTGGGGCATAGATTTGAACTATTGTGATGTTGAATGGTTTGCCTTGGATTCGAACTGAGATCATTCTGTCATTTTGGAGATTGTATCCCAGTACTGCTTTTCCTACTCTTACTATGAAGGCTACTCCATTTCTTCTGAGGGATTCTTGCCTGCAGTAGTATACCTGATGGTCATCTGAATTAAATTCACCCATTCCTGTCCATTTTAGTTCACTGATTCCTAAGATCTCAATGTTCAGTCTTGTCATCTCTTGTTTGACCACATCCAGCTTGCCTTAATTCATGGATCTTACATTCCAGGTTCCTATGGAGTATAGATCTTTGCAGCATCAGACTCTCCTTTCACCACCAGATACATCTGCAACTGAGTGTCCTTTCGGCTTTGACCCAGTCGCTTCATTCTTTCTGGCGCTACTAGTACTAGCCCTCTGCTCTTCCCCAGTAGCATATTGGACACCTTCCGACCTGAGGGGCTCTTCTTCCGGCGTCATATCTTTTTGCCTTTTGGTACTGTCCATGGGGTTTTCATGGCAAAGATACTGGAGTGGGTTGCCATTTCCTTCTCCAGTGGATCATGTTTTGTCAGAGCTCTCTGCTATGTCCTGTCCGTCTTGGGTGACCCTGCATGGCATACCTCATAGCTTCATTGAGCTACACAAGCCCCTTCGCCACGACAAGGCAGTGATCCATGAAGGAGTAAGTAAATGATCTCGCTCACACTTTAAGAGTGTTTCTGCTGTTCTGAGGAAATTAGGTACTGCTTTTCCTAACTAAATGCTCCTGCATTTATTCTCTTTCAGCTACCTCTTGGAGTACATTGATATTTCTGTTATTCTGATACACTTCCCTTATCACTCCTTGTGAACCCTATAATTGGCAATTACTCTTTTTTGGTACTTGAAATCTTTGCACTAATGCCACCTACTTAAGCAAGATTTTAACTTTAAGGCTGTGCTGAGTTTTCTCAAACATTTTTCAGATGAAGTCATGCTTTTTACCCCCATGACCCTGGAAAGAAAAAGACACTTAGGGCACAGTCCTATGGGGACTCTTGCAACACTCTGAACTTGGAGGATCACAGACATCCTGTGCAGGGAGGGAGGAACAGGGAGGTCAAGAGTGCAGAACACTCAGATGGTTAGTTTTGTGCAGGGCTTCAGAATGGGAGAGAAGGAGGCTGAGGTGTCTCCAGGTTATGTTGCATCTTGGTGGCACTAGTCTCTTCCTCTCCCTGCCCCCCGGAATGCCCCAGTACCCTTCCCTGAGGTTAGTCTTATGTCCTTGAAGAAGCAGGAGGGTCTTTCTTTCAGTACTAGCTGGGGGAGGGGAGGGAGCATGGATTCCAAGGGACAAAGAGAAATTACCTTACTTTGTAGCTGGGAATCTAAACAATTCTATAGCCATGTAGATGCTGTCAAGCAGCCATAGCATAGCCCTGGTATTTTGCTTTGTAGCTGCTCACAGCCACTGATTACTCTTTGGCATAGCCATCTGGAAAGAAAAACACAGTTTTCATTGCAGAGTCTTTTTATTAAATGAGAAAAATGCACAACTCGGCACTTCAGAATGTGCTGGAAGTGATTGCATAGTGATTGTGACCCTATTTAAAAAGTGTGCAAGAGCTAAGAGCACATGAAGAGCATATGCATCCCTCTGCACATCAAAATATTCTTCCAATCTGATCCAAGGTATCCAGGCCAGCACTTCAGTGCAAATATTCAGCCAAAAACAAATTTGCTGGCAGCTATCAACCCCACAAGACAAATCTCACCTGTCAGTTAGGAGTACTCCAACATTATCAAGGCCCTTTGTATTCTTGCTGGTAGGGCAGAAATGTGGAAGGTGCAGTTTGCTCTCTCCCATTGCCCCTACCAAGCCATTGCCTTCCCATTGCAAGCAACAGCAAGGAATTTTACTCCAACCCTGTAAAATTTCCCATGTTGGGTGCTACAAAAGCTTTGGGTGCAGGACTGTGCCATCCTGTTTTAGCTCTCGTGATGTTGGAGTGATTAATACAGAAATTTCCTCAGGAACAGGGAGGGGAATCTAGGTCCAAGTTCTCTTTCGTCATGGTGAGAAATGCCCAATTGCACCGTAATCCTCTTGGGCTTAGTGCAGGTACTTTGTAAAAAGTAATGATTAAGAACAATGGCATTCACATTCTTAGGCATGAAACTCACTGCAAATAATAGTAAATAAAAATTATGGTTACTATTTACTAATAATTAGGAATATTTAGCTAGAATTAGCTTCTGTCACTTCTTGTCATTCATGCCACTTGATAGGTTTTCCACGTGAGGCTACATAAAGAGGAGGTAAGCACACAGTGGCATCTTGCACTGGTGCCCTTCCTATCTTTTTCTCTACAGAAAAAGTACTTGTAGCTCTATTTTAATGTTGCAGCTTTTTAATGTTCCACCTTGCAAAGCCCTGACTGGGATTTCCTTAAGGGCAGATTTTGAGTTATTCAAGCTGCTTTTCTAGACTCTATGTTTTGAGGTCTGTTTCTCTTTTTGTGGCTAAACAGTAACAAAACTTTGACTAGCCAGACAAGGTCTTGAAATGGAATATTAAAGTAATGAGGTCAATTAAATGGAAAGGGAAAACCTGCTTTTTCCAGTATTCTCTAGCTCGTCCCAGCAGGACAAAAGATACAGGGAGCACAGCTGTTTTCCTTTTTACAGGGCCACTTTCTTCTGTAATTTAAGTCTAATGATGGAGGGGGGAGATTCAGAACCCCAGCCCTGGGGTGGCTGTAGTCTTTTCCCCCATTCCAGGGATGAGTCATGGGAAGGCTTTGCTGCTTGCAGATCCACAGCCTCTACCAGCGTAGCCCACTTGGTACTCCTTTTGGTACTTCCCTATGTCAGAGCAACACCTTTCTGCATACTCCTTGAGTAGGCTTGCAAGACTGGATCTTTAGCTGTCAACAGCAGGCCTTTCTTTGCTCTCAGAGGGGTGAATGAAAACCTCCTATGGCTCCAGGATGCCCTTGCAAGCCCAACATGACTGCAGACTCAGCTATAGGCAGCTTTAAAAATATTCAGTGCAGACTAATTTGCATAATTCCAGTTAAACTTGTGATACATTTACTTCATCTCAGCTGGGGATGTACAACCTTTTTGGCCCTGTGAGCTACATTTGACAGTGGACTGGGTGCTGTATATAGCCACACATGCATGTTTGCGTGTGGTTATATACAGGGATTTTGAAAAAGATACTCTTTTCTCAGTGCTAGCAGTAGTGCAGATAGGGGGAAGGATTTTGCAGTAGCTGGGTGGTCAGGGGACTGCAGTTAAGCTTTTGGGAGGCCAAATGAGGCCCATGGGTTGAGCACCTCTAAACCAAATCTGTAGTAATATTTTGGTGGTTATATCTGATATCAGACTGAACCATTCAGTAATCACAACAGTACAATTGGAGATTGAGAAATCATTCTTGCTACAGTAGGTTGAAAACAAGGAGGAAAAAGAAACAAAAGCAATGCATATCAAGATTTTATTTGTTTTCTTGGAAAGATTTCATTTGAGATATTTTCTTTAAAACAGCAGCGAGCAAGTGGAAAAGTGGCAGCGCAGGTAACTTGGTTTGGCTAATGCCCACAAATGGTACACTTGATGTCTGAGCACCCTTGTGTGTTGAATTCTTTTAAGTGTATAGTAAGGCAGTGGTTTCTCAATAAGTAATCTGTTTATAGTTTTTAAAATTTATATATATCATTCTAATCACCACTGTGAAGCTTCACATGCAAATTAAAATAAAATGTACAACTCAAAAATATTACAGCCATTTCCCACCACCCCCAAGTCCACAGCAAAGAAGCACCTAAACAGGGACAAATACCGACACCAGCAACAGTAGTAAAAAACAGGGGAAGGGAGAAAGTGAGAAAACAACTTCAGGACAAACATTCTTGTGGCTTGACAGCTGAAGATGACAAGAACTCCAGTAGAATTTCTCCCATTAAATGGGAAGAGGGAAAAAGTGGGTAGGTATTAACAGGTGCTTTCAGTCAGTGGCCTGAGTTTACTCTATCCTAAGCAGCTCCACATCAAAAATCAGAGTAGCATTTGCAGGGATGACTCCAGGATGGCCCGTGGTTCCATATGCCATGTCAGGTGTACAGGTGAGCTTTGCTCTTTGTCCTAGGCTCATCTGGCAGTTGAAGAGAAGAGAAAATAAGAAGCAGAAGGAAATGTCAGAAATCATTGTTACTGTTCTCCAAAACAAGTCAAAATTAGAACATACTAAGTTAAACACAATTAGGCTGCAATCCCATGGCCTCCTGACATCATGATAGGATTGTTTGAAGTCCTGGCTTTGAAGTCTTGCAACTTTGGAATGAAGACTTGGAAGGTTAAGCCCATCCTCCCCCCCACACCCAACTGGCATGAACCACACATGCTACCTTTCCAATGTCACAAATCAGCCTCAGAGAGGAGGGAAGGGGGCATGCTGGGAAGAAGGCTGGGTCAGATGGCTTATGCTGTATTCAAATGGCACCCCAGTTTCCTTTCCTTCCACCCTCTTTCCCATTGCTTCATCTAGGTAGCCAAAAAAGGTGAAATCACTGCAATGACTCCCAGCTCAGACATCACCACAGAAGGCTACCCACAGCTGATGGATCAAATGCTGCTGAGAGACCAAGGAAAACCAACAGAGTCACATTCCTGTTAGCTCTCTGTAAGATAGATCATCTTAAAGGCTGATCACTAGTGTTTCCATACCACAACCTGGGCTGAACCTCAGCTAAAATGGATCTAGATAATCATCTGTCTGGAGCTGGTCAGTAATCATGCTTTCAAGGATGATGACCAGGAAAAGAATATTCACTACTGGCCTAAAGTTAAGATCACCTGGGGTCATGGGAGATTTCTTTAGGAGTGGTCTTACCATCAGCTCTTTTGGGTGACCTGGGAACATTCCTCCTCATGGAGAGGCATCAATCACTTGCCCAGCTGTTGTTTCCTCCCTGACAATTTTGATATGTTACAAGGAGCAAAGATCTAGTGTGGATGTGGTTGCACAAACCTGTCCATGCACCTTGCCAACAGCTTGTACCATGTGACACTCATACAATAAAACTTAGCAGTACATTAAAAGTAATGATTCACTGATTAAAACAATGGAATCTAAGTGGATGTAAGGTACTTTTTTAAAACCTGGAAATGCACTGCAAACTTCTCAAAGTAGGTATCTGATGGTTCTGCAGCCTCCTTAAGTCCAGTGTATAGAAAGCCACAAAGGACTCTAAGAAGCCCTGCAGGATGGCATTGAGTGGAGTCAAATTTCTGAGCTACCTTCACTCCTTCTGAAGAATTGTACACACGATCAGTGTTCAATTGCATTCACTGGACAATTTTCCTCTATCTGTGCTCAAGGCATGCTCTAACCAGTTTCTTTGCTCAAAGCTCTAGAATATACCATGGAGACGTAACGACTCTAGTATTCTGGAGAAGCAACTGTGCTCAGGCAATTGTGCCAACTGTCCAGGGCATTTCTGCATCCCACAATGGGAGAACCAGCCATACTGGGCAGAGTTAAAAACAGGAGCCCTCAGGAAATCATCCAGATCTGTTAGCTTCTTGGGACAAGCCACCATAATACTTTGGCAACAATCCATGCATTTTGGCTTAGGCCTAGTTTTAAAAATGTAAATGGTTCTACTGAAGTTCCATCTTACAATCTTCAACCAATGGCCAGACTGACAGGGGATGATGGGAGTTGTAATCTAACACATCTACAGGCTACCAGATTGAGGTTGAGGCCCCATAGGTGAGGGTGTTCAAAGATAGGCTAGACATGTACACGGTAGGCACATCGTGAGCGGAGCCAGCTGGAGCCGGGGGTCAGACTAGATGGCCCAGGAGCCCCTTCTGACTCATTCTATGTTTCTATGTTACGTTATTAGTCATGGGAGCAGAGAATGACTGTTGAGTGTAATATTAAATGTCAGCGCTTGAGAAGAACAGCCACCAGTGCTGAAACAGTTGAGCTCTGGTAGGCTTTGCATCTGTCTGTTTCTTACGGTGTATAAATGAAGTCTTAACTCTTCAGCATTGTTTTACTGCAGCACAGAAGTTATTCAGCATATGTGGCATCTTACAGGATCCAATTAGTACTTGCTACTCAAATATCCTTTGTCACATGTGTGAGTGGGTGGACAGTTAGGCACACTGCTGTATTTATATGGCAATAAAGAACTTGGCAACATCCTAGTAATGTTATGGTTCATCACAACCATATATCAGTATACATTAAATATAAGATTTTATTTACTGGAATGACAAAATATGAGTAACTGGGAAAGGTTGGATAGGATCTACTTAGAGCCACAGTGGAAAGGCTGAGGGGGCTCTAATGAGGCTGTCACAGTACTGGTTCTGAACATATTTCTCAGATACATTGAAAACATTCACCTGGAGGTTGTATATCCAGGTGTTCAGTTTTAAGAATTTAAAATGTAAGTGCTCTAGGAAGAATGAAGAACAGTACACCTGAGCAAAAAAGCGCTCACCTCACAATTCTACAGCAAATTCATTGTTTGTCCTAGAATATTTAAGGCCTATTTACATGACAGTTTTACCCTCCAGGCTGATTCAGGAGTGAACCATGAACTGAATTTAGCTTAGATTGACTCTGTGGAGCTACTACTAATAAATCTGCCATCCAACAAGCACCACAGAGCCTTTTCAGCAAGGTGGCAAAAGCTGACCCAGCATGAAGTTTGTCCATGGTGATGACAAGTGCCCAAGCATCTCTTGACCAACCTGACTTATCCTATCTGAAGTTCTTTATATTCAACTCTGCATACAAATTTCAACCCCTTGAAATTATGACTTGGACCCACATTTAACATTAGAACAGACCCAATGAAATCAAAACAACTTAAATTAGGCACAAGTCCATTGATTTCAATGTGTTTCCTCAAACTATAACTCATTCTGGACCCAATCCTACAGCTGTACATCCTTTTTCATCCACTGCCCAGGAAATCCTTATTATTCGTGTTCCTATTTTCAGGATTGCTAGAGCAGAATTCCTCATACCTGTGCAGCACCTTCCTCAAATCCTTTAATGACTTCTTGTCTCCCAAGCTTGAATCTGAATGGCTTGTTTCGATCTCGGGAGGAATCAAACTTCTTTCCATTCTGTAGCATTCCTGCCAAAGCAAGACAAACAGTTCCTGTTTCAGTCAAGCTTGCATTAGTGTCTGGGATGACAACAAAATAAAGATGGCTACCCAAGTCTGAACAAACAGCTATAACCTTCCAATCTTTAAAGGATAGGCTGAGAAAGCCAAAGTTTGAGCCCTCCATAGTTAACTGTGGTAGCCTTGTACAAGTTACTTAGTATTTTAACTATGTGTAGTTGGCAGCCAGTCCTAGACATCTTTGTTTACTCTTGAGCCCAAAGGGCTAGACATTGGGCTAAAAATTGCACAAGGTACGCATTTTGGCATGGTTGACTTACCTGACCCTCTGATCTGTTGCAAGACACCTGCTGCTATGCTATAATAGGGCTATATTTATCCTCAGTTCCCAGACTATGAATGAGTAACAAGCTTCTTACAATTGCATAATCCTCCTGGCCATGCCACTGCCTATTAAGACCCCAGAGTTATTCAGACAAATTGGCAATCAGAGCAGCCCGCACATGGCTATCCAGTTACAGAGAAGTAAGTTACTCTTTATATATTCAAGAGAAATGGTGACACAAAGATGTAACAAAAACAAATACAATGAATAAAGTCCCTAATGCCAGGGGAACTTTTTCAAATGAGATTCCCCAGGCTTTTTTCCCCTTTACTTGCTACATTTTGATCCTGCCCTTTCTCCAAGATCAGGACAAGTCACATTTATTGCGACAACATGCATGTGAGATAGGTTAGGCCAAGAGTGAGTCATGGGCCCAAGAGGACCTTCATGGCTCCAAGAGGACTTGGGCCTAGGTCTCCCCAGTCCTATCCTGACCTTCTGATGACTATGTACTGTGCTGGCTTTTGAAAGCTATAGGCTAGACTGTTTCAGAAAGCTTTCAGGTAATGATAGCATGCAGCCTCCAGTATCCATGGCTACTCTGTACACTCAGCTGAAGGGTCGCCAGATTGGTCCATCACTTGGCCTAATCCTGTTTTTCCCCCAGTAAAAGGTTCCATTTCCTTATACTACTTTATATGCATTTGGCAAGGGCATGGCTAAAGCACATGGGCACACATTAGCAATCATCATTTGGATGGATGACAAAGCAGTCACCTTTCCAATGAATCACATCCTCTGAATTGGATCAACTTGGTTTGCTCACTGCTCCAAGTCTAGACTAATATATGAAACAGCCCTGCATCTCCAACAATCAGGGTTGGCCCAAAACTCTTGTTGTTGGCTTACATGGAGCAGCAAATGATGCCCCTGCCTTCAAGTTAAGATGCATAGTATCCAAAGCAAGACAAATCATTTAAGCACTGGGGGCAGAAAATCCCACAAGTGCATTTTCCTTTCTGTTGCAGTAAGAATATACCAATAATGAGTTAAATAATTAACTATCTTCTGCCTTCATGATTCCCACAATTAGTCAACTGCGGCTGCTGACTCATTCCGCTATCAAATACAAGAAATGGCTATAGATCATTGAACCAATGAATCTAGAGTCCTCTGAATAAAATGTATATGACTAAAATAATTTGGCCATTTCCCCTACCTTTATCTGTATACTCTGCTAAGAGGCAAAGTTAGAATCAGTTGGCATTCCAATTATTGCAGTGCTGTCAGGCAAGAAAGTTCTCTTATTGTCTAGCATGAGCTTTCTTCACTCAATTCTGTGATGGGCATCACGCCACTTCACTTGCCCATTATGTTCCTTTGGCAAGATCCAGAAATTTGAGACAGCAAAAAGCAGCTCCTGATTCAGGATTGCCCCACTAGCACTTCTCAGCTGATTACCTCAAATCACATTGTAAGTGTTCATGGTAGGCATGTCATGAGTGGAGCTGGCTAGAGCCGGGGGTCAGACTAGATGGCCCAGGAGACCCCCCCCCCCGCTGACTCACTCTGTTTCTATGTTAAAGATTTGCTCTTTCAGAGAGCCAGCAGGTGCTGGTTTGGGATCAGGAGGCAGAAGAATGTAATAAAAATAAATAAATAGCATTATATAATTCTTACTAAGCACCTCACTTACTCAAATGACAGTAATTTCATGTTCTACAGCACTGGTTTCTAGCCAAATTGTAATGGATGCCACGGTTGAGAATTCATTTAAAAAGAAATGTTGGTAAAATATCAACTCCCCACTTTTTTGCCTCTTAACAAGTGTTCTTCTCAGTCCAAACCTGCTCAAGGTTACAGACCATAGCATTACAGTTAATTTAATACATGAATGGTTGTTGTACAATCATAAATGAAGGCGATATTACCAGTTTTCCGACAGGGCTGCATCTATTTGAAAATTCCCTCTCCTGTCACTTGGTGGCGGATGTCCTAACGGGCACGTGGCTTTGCAGTATGTACAGTCTGAAGCCAGGGAAAAGCAGTCTGAGGGAAACTTACATGGCTACCCACTCCTCTGTTGTGAGGAACCCTCTAAGGGGAATGAGGTGGGCAGATCCCTCTCTTTGTGGGCAAAATCAGGGGTGCCCCGTGTGTCTAGGGATGTCTGTCCCTTCACTCAGACAGGACCAGCACTGTGTGGCCAAAGCCGGGGGAAACAGCTGCATAACTTTGCCAGAAGGCTCCACGGCAGCAAACTCAGGGCTCTTTCAAGCATGCAAAGCTGGATCTGTTCACTTGTTGCATACGAAGTGGCTTATATGATTTTGAACCAAGAAGAGAATCAGTGGCTTATATGATTTTGAACCAAGAAGAGAATCAGTGGATGAGCGGGAGAGGCTTTTAATCCCTTTCTTCTCAGTTAACATTGTCTCCACAATCAAGCCTTTGCTTAGAGAGGCAAAATCAGGGTTTGCCCTCCCCTGGCTTGCTGTGGATCCCCTGAGTCAGCTGGTGGAGCAGGAGGAGCTGTGTCTCATGTGCTCCCAGCTCACTGGAAGGACCTCACAGCCACTTTGCTCTGGCAAGGCAGCAGGACCCCAAAGAGTCCCTCTAGTCAAACTTGCCCCATGGCAGCTCTCACATGGGAGGACTGGAACAGCAGGGTTTTCCAGCAATTCCACCCAGCCTGTGGCACCACTGCAGGCATTCTGGTGAGCCCCACTCTCTTGTGGCAGCAAATGAGTATTTATCATACTTTTTTGAGTAAGTTTTATTTGAAATTATAATCCCAAAAAAAACCTAAAAACAATATCCATCATCAAAAACATCAAGCTGGCTGGGTCAGCCCCCACACATCCTTCTTTTTCCATTTATGATAACTTAAAAACATATTTAAATCTGTGCAAAGTCCCATTTCTCTAGTCAATAATAAAAAGAGTCCCAAGTTTGATAGAAGTCAGTTTATCATATTCATATCTCACTTTTTTTTCCTTAGATGGAACTCAAGGCAACTTACATGATCCTTCTCCCCGCAATTTTGTCCTCACAACAACAACCCTGTGGGGTAGGCAGGGCTTAGAGCCTGTGACTGGCCCAGAGTCACCCAGTGAGCTTCATGGCTGAGTGGGGACTAGAACCTGAGGCTCCCAGGTCCCCAGTCCAGCACTCTCACCACAATGCAACACTGGCCCTCTAACCACTGGCTACACCGCTGCCGTGGAAGACTGTCCAATGGAGCTCTCTAAACCAGCACTCAGCCATGGCATCATTCTGAGGATCGTCTCAGAGTGAGCTAGTGAGTACTTGTCATGGTGCATCATGTCATGCACTCCCAGGTGGGTGGTGTAGCTTCCACGAAGATTAAGCATGAGTCGCTCTGGAGTTGCCTGTGGGTTACCATTTTTAAATCTACGTTTGTAAGCTGTCCCGAGATGCCGAGGCATGGGGTGATGCGATATAAAAGTTTTAAATAAATAAATGAATAAACATACCTTCACATAAGCCTAGCTCCCTGGGTTCATACAGCATGACAGGTGATGAAATACACAAGCCACAAGGTGCATGCATCAAGTGTCAGCTGGTGTAAGCCTGCAAGTCCATTAGCCCACTGTAGCTTAGCATGACAAGCAAAAGAACCCACTCTGTAAAGCAGCCTTCACCAGCCTGGTGCCTTCCACGTGTTTTGGATGCCAGCTCCCATGAGCCCCAGCTGACATGGGTTATGGCCAGAATTTTGGGAGTCCTAGTCCAAGACATTTGGGGGGCACTAGGTTGAGGCCTCTGTAAAGGCTGACTTTGCAGTAAACGGGCTGAAATACCCTAGAAATGTCCATGTGCAGCTACAAAATGTATATACCTTTCCAACTAAAAGGTCAGCACTGTCATCCTCAGCTTTATTGGGAACAAAAAAACATACAAGCAAGATCAGCAGAAACAGTGTAGTCAAAATACTGGTTGTCTATACTAGCAAGCAAAAAACAAACAAACCAAAACCACCGGGCTAATGATAGGACAAAATAGAAAAATACCAAGAATGTCAACATGTGCATGCCTGACCCAGCAACTCTGATTGTTCAGGAGGTTTCCAAAGCATGCAACACAGAATCTAAGTGTTGAATTATATTAAAACATTGCAAAATGGAGGGAAGGAGAGGCTAGTTTTGCTGCAAAGGAGCACGCATGATGGTGGCAGATCCTTATCTTTATGGTTCTGCCTCCAAAAATGTGAAGCAGGAGATGAGGGTTGGCTCCTCCAGTGTTAGCCTGCCCCACAACCAGTGGAAGGGCAGTGCTCACAAAGGAATAGATTAATTGCTGTGGATATTTCCAGGGGTAAGGCAGTCGGGTCAATGTTGGCTACTCTTTTTATTTTAAATAAAAGGGGTGTTTTTGAGCTGAATCATAAAGTAGGGGAGTGCTCAGCCTCTAAGGAATCATTTGATGTAATTAAAAATAAAAAAAGTGGCATAAAAGAGCATGAGCAGAAGCAGATGGGGAAGAGAATTGTTTTGTTCATTGCCAATGATTTCATAGTCAAGAAAAAGGTGCCCAGTGCATTGCTCTATTGCTCAAAGTACGAGCACAGAATAGAATCCATAGTTTTCTAGTAAAGAAATATTGCTGTTCTGGAATGCTCAAGGAATGTAATAACACAGAGGATCTGCTTTGAAAACAGGTA